CTGACCGTTGTCGACGGAGCTGAACTGTTCCTAAGCCGCCTCAAGGGTGTTAACGATCCAGAGAAGAAGCGCAAGATCATCGGAGCTACCTGTATGTTTATTTCCCCAGGTTTCTCTACTTGTTCTTTTAGGAACAGCAGAGGATGACCGCGGCATACATGAAGAGCTGTCTGCTGTAAGCTTGGCGCTCCGAGCAGCCCATCTCATCTGAGGTACACTGTTTCCAAATTGATGACAAGTACATGCCCGGTACCTTGACTCTGACCACGATGATGAAAGGATGAATAAGGATGAATAAGAGCGTACAAAACACATGGGAGAGCGGACTCCACCAGACGCCATTGAAATCTTATCAGCGAGAAACCCACTGCCATGCATGTACTAAAACTGACATGCGCCGTCCATCTCCGCGGTGAGCTAGATGTGTATTCATTTCAAACGCCTATGTCTTCTTCTTCTTCTTCTTTTCATCATAAAAGATGGAAGCGTCCTGTACCTTCTTCTACTTGATTGCCTGTGCCGTTGTCTTACATCACTTATTCATTGTAGTCATAGTGGTTTAATCTTTCTCTTATAGGTACCTACTCAGCTGACATATACAGACATCATTCCTTTCCACACCCTCTCCGGACTTTTGACATCTCTCCAGTATGTTCGGGCCGGACATGTCATAACGGCCGTCGCGGAATGCGGGAGAGTGAAAAAAAAAGACTGGCCCTACATATAGGAAGCAAATGGGTAGATGCCCAGCTAAGACAAATTATTAGTCTAACAGGGCTATTTTAGCTCAGCTCATCATCGACGCCTAATTTAATTAGGCTGCGAGGCTAGTAATACGGGATGATGGGATAGCCTGGGGCAAAAAAGATGAGGAACAAGACGTTGTGTGTCTTATTTCTACTTATAGAAGTAAGGCTTCATGCTTTGGCAGTGGTGACCTGACCTTGTTTTCTTGATAAGCTACTGCAAATCGTGCAAATTAGATGCGCTGCGGCGTGGGAACGAAAAGTCTCCGTTAGTGTGTTTGTGCGGAAATCTGGAGATGGATGGAGAGCTTCTTACAGCTTTCAGATTGCCATTTGGAAGTACTTGCCGTTGATTACCTCAGCTTCCGGACGGACCGCGGGTGCGTATCATCGAGATGGCCATCGCAGATCGAGTGTCGCGCATGCATACAAGCACTTATGCCTATTGTAGTGATCCGGTTTGTTCGTAATGTCTTGTTTTACCACTTGAGTCTTTTATTTCTTGTTTCTCTTCTTCCAATATTTTGCCTTGCGTGAAAGAGCAGATGCCCAAGTCCAGAGTTCTGCCTTCAAAGCATTGCACCAAAACAGGCAAAGTTTCCTAAAATGGCAGTTGCAGTCGTATTCGTATTCTCAGAAACGGAAACACCCGTTTTTTTTGTTAAAAAGAAGAACAAGCTCTGCTTTGGAAACTATTTTCAAGAATACTAACAGTTGCGAGATTCTAGAGCCCTTGTCAACTGGCCTTCAGCTACCTGCTTTATCTTTGTCACTCGCTTTGCACATGAGGAAATTCTAGATGACTTCTATATTGCCGTCTTTGGCAAGATCGCGCTTCATGGAAAGATTACTATTCAAGGGGAATGCCCATTTAAGCCCGGATTACAAATATTCCCCCTCGAATTTGGTTTACGCACAAAGAAATGCGCATATTGACAAAGCAGACCCGATTCCTCGGTTTTTGACCGTGACGTATACCCTCAACGCCCAGCTAGAGTCAGAAAAAAGGTGCATTGTACGAGTCAGTTACTGCAGCGCTTCGGCTCGAATAGTCAAGGCCGTTGCTTTGCACCGTTTGGGGGCGGTAGATGCGATTATTAATTGACACGAGGTGCAGTTTTTGCCGTTTATGGGAATCGCAGGGCGCCATGTGGCATTGGAATCTAGAAAAGAAACGGAGAGGTGCTGTTTTGCTTATTAAATGCGTTTTGTCGGCATCAGCGGAAAGGCTGTTTGACACTTTAGGGGAGCAGCTTGTTGTTTCGTGCTCGATCGATGCTGGAGCAAAGCTACATGTTGGGAAGGCAGCTGCTCGACCACAAGCTATTGAAGCACATGAGTAGCTGTTAGCTATCAGACTAATGACTAGTATCGATATCGTAAAGTGATTTGATTAGCAGCTCTTTGCTTTCATGATTCGTCTGGACCTTCGGAACTTTCCATCACCAGACGGGGTGCCAGTGATTATACGGAATCCCCACTTCGCGGATCAAACCCCCCAATAACATGGGCTTGAAACGTGGAAACTCGCCGATGAGCTGACACGCGAAGAATATGAATGTGTGTGTGCTGGGCAGAGCAAAAATGATGAAGATCAATCGACGGGTACATGTTAAGAGAAAGGTTTGGTTGGCTCTCTTCTTGTATCTGGTTGTGACTCGGCTTGTAGATATCTAATGATACCTCTTGGGCAGATGTGTGCCATGTTCGTATACGTTTTACTTGTACGAATAGCGCCTTGTGTCTTATGATTATTAACTACCTATACCCAAGGCTGCATGTATCTGCAAAGTATCATGGAATCATCATATCCACCACACCAACACCTCCAAGACGCTCCATCGTCTCCAAAATCTAACCCCAAAACGCTCCACGGCACCGCATCGCCCGCTGCTCTTAACCCAGCTTGCCCAGCTCGCCCAGCAATAGCGCATCCATCCCTCAGAAGCCTCGTGCCATTTTATCCCGTTCTACGTATGAGTATTTACCCCTCAGCCATTCACATTTCCTCTGTCTCACATCTCCTTCCAGCCCAACTGTAGATCTAGCCACATTAGTCAAAGAGCAGCAACAGGAGCTCTCCAAATCGAGCTTCATCCCGAGAACCTTGTCGGAGCTCTCTCTCTTTTTTTTTACAGCAACTCCGAAACTTTGGGAGGGTTCCACTTGACGTACTAAACTGCATGTACATGCATTTATTACCCACTGGATGAAAAGCATGTTGGCTGGCCATTTCGACTCGAATACCGCCAAGCCGAATTCGCACGGGGCCGAATCCCGCGGTATCAATGTGTGTGCCCGTTGCATTCACGGAACAGAGGCTACTTACTCTGTTGACATAGTCTGTGGCTTTACTAAACCTTTGTTGAATCCTACACTTAATTCTTTTGAGAGCCAAAGTGCCACCACCTCGATTAACTCGCCTAGAAATGGGGGAAAACGTCTAGCCGTACTCTTGCTGCACACCAATCTCCCCAAACAGCAACAATTCGTTGCGGAAACTTGCTATAGTCTCAACTCTCCATTAGAAGATAAAACAGGTTTAAATACAATAGATTTATATATATAAATTATCAAAAGCAAGCCGTAGCCAATGAAACAGTAACACGCCCTCTCAGCCAAGCCGCCCACCATCCGAAAACAAGGAAAAATAACCTGGTTTACACCCCCTCACGCACCAGAAAATGTCACCGATCCTAACACCAACACCCCAAACACGAGCACCGTCTACTGCCCGCTAAAGTGATAGCTACCTACCCACAACAAGCTACAAGTCCTGATCCGTAGACAACTACTGTTAGATACATACCTGGTACTTCTGACCCCATCCTTTCATCGTCTCATCATCCCAATACTACAAGAGAAAAAAGAAAAACTCCACTGCGGTGGAATAAGCATAATCAGCCCATACAAGTAGGCCGGCAACCAAATCTCATGACACTACATGCCGGTATGCGTGTTATAAGAAAAACCACGCAGAGAGGTGCCATGGCAGCAGGTGTGTCATGCGGCACCCAGGAATAGACTCATGTCAGTCATTGACTTATATCCATCTCATTCACGTGGCTTCAAGCTCAAGCATCAAGGAAACGCCTGGCTTACGGGAATTGTGCTCGGGCCTAATGCGGTGTAGCCAAATCGACGGCATCTGCAACGGCTGTTATATGGGTCGATGGGCACGCGACTCTCGTCCATCAATGGTTCTATCCATCTACAGGGCATTTTTCCTCTCTTACGACTTACGCAAGTCACTCTACTCGCAGTTACATGTCCTACAAAATCATCACGATTGACACAGAGTCATGCCATAAAACATCTCAGCTGCATTTCGCGTAATGTCTATGGTCGTTGCGCCTATTCACAGAAGGAAACAAGCACCGCCGTGCTCATATGTAAAAAATGAACCAAGAAGAAAATCCCTAGTGTCAAGGGGTTCCTGCTCTGCCCATCGTCGACGCCCAAGGCGAGAAACAACCTCCCATCGGACGCATTTCGACAACAGTCTTCGCAGTCTTCCCCGAAAAGAATCGAAAATGCCCCTGTGCAAATCCAGCACACCGCGGGCATAACCCAGCCCCATAGCGCCCCTTTAACCAGCCCTGGATCCGTCTGTATACTCATCATAACGACGCCATGCACATATGAGTTTGCCGAGAAGACTAACGAGAAGGAAGAAATGGGAGCAGCCAAGGAGCTTTTTCCTAATGTTTGTGTAAAGAAAAGAAAAGAAATGTCAAGTCCAGATTGTCAACATGTCATCGCATAAGATACAATGGAGAAGCGAAGAAATTCGTAAAACCGTTTCGAAATTCCGAAACCCTAGCCACACATCTCAGCCCTTCCCGGAGCCCGACCGCCATTGTGATGCCACGACCGAGTCCCTTGAAAGTCTGCATGGACAGGAGAAAGAGGCAAGTGCCAGATGGGATTGAGCCTAAGCGCCTGTCTTTAAACAGTGACCGGGGCCTGGCCAAGAGGCTTCAGAACGTTGTCACCGTACTCGCCACCAAAGTTTCCTGGGAACGTGAGGGTTAGCATGCGGGTGTAATAAGTGCAAGAGAGCTTGTTTCAAGGCAACTTACCTGGGGGACCGTAGTTGCAGACGGTGTACCAAGAGGGCAGTGAGAGGACAGAGCCAGATGGGCACTGAACGGTAGCACATCCAACCTTGGTGGAGCCCTTCCAGACAACCTGGGTGAAGTGGCCAAAGGCGTCCAAGTCAAGGCCAGAGGGAGGGTTAGACTGGCCGTAGAAGGTCCAGTTCTCCATCTCGTCATTGTACCACTGGTCAGTGACACCACGACGACCGGACAGGATCTGGTCGCCGCTGATGTCACCAGAAGAGCCAAAGCTGGCAAGGTTCTGGCCGTAGGAAACAGAGCCGCCACCCTCAGTCCTATATAGTTGTCAGTATTAGCCACTTCCCGTCTGGTGTGAACATTCGTTCTTGTTACTTACATGTCGTGAGCGAAAACGCAGCCGGAGGCAGTGATGTGGGCGAATCCAGCCAGCTGATCATCCCACTCGAGAGCGGGCGCGGAGTGGTTGGCACGGTGAATGTTGTGCTCGTTGAGCATGGCAGACTGGTAGTCGTTGGAACCAGAGCTCGAGCTGGAGCTGGAGCTGCTGGCAGCGGGAGAAGAAGCAGCGGGCTTGGGAGAAGCGGCAACAGGAGACGGCGAAGGCTTGGGCGAAGGCTTGGGAGAAGACTTGACCGCAACCTCGGGTGAAGGTGCCGGTGCAGGAGAAGACTTGGGAGCCTCAACCACGATGACGGTTGAGGTCTGAGGAGCAGCCGGAGCCGGTGATGGCGGAGGAGGGGCCGGCTTGGGGGAAGAGACGGCGGGAGGAGGAGCGACGTAGACGGGCTTGGGAGCCGGAGCCTGGACCTGGGGGCTGGGAGTAGCAGCCGGCTGCGAAGAAACGGCCTGGATGAAGACTCCACCGGCCGAAGAGGGCGCGGATGGGTCGACAGTGACGGTGACGGTGACGATGTCAGTCACCCACTGAGTCTCCAGAGCACGCTTGTCGAGCGGCATGGCGGCAGCCAGAATGGCGCCCGTGGCCAAGAAGAAAGCAGACTTCATCTTGAACGTTGGAATTTCTTTGCTTGAAGTTGTGAGATGTAGAGTTTACTAGTTGGCGAGAAACAAGTTAGCTCTTGGGATCTATTTGAACATGCATTTAAATGGAAAACAATAGGCCATTGAACACCAGACAGTTGACGGAAGCATCCAAGAACTGAGTACAAGTGGTTTGAAAACAGCAGCGATTCACAACGAAGGCGTATTGTGCGTCATCCTGTAACAAATGCAAGAGGCTGGAGATGCCTTCTGGAACGCAGGTTGAGAACAATGAGGAGTGCGAGGAATGCAGACTGGAACATGGCCGTTGGAAGCGGAAAACGGACCCACAGAAGACACGAGATGTTGAACAATGAGGAATGGGCCAAGACGATGCTGGGGTAACTTGTGAGGGGACGCTTGCCCCATGCGAAGTGCCGTGCAAGGAGTAAGAGACGATGGTGAGATGCGAATTGCAGAGTATATATATAGAATGGATTGATAGCGGCTGATCACTTGGCAGTGAAGCCAAGTCAGGCCCATCATGACTCGAGATGAACAACTATAGACGAACAAGATGCAGGTGAAGCTGTCGATCATTGCCTTACCTTGGAGGATTGATGGTGATCCAAATGTGAAATCCAGACACCAGGGACGAAGAGATGTGATATATGTCGGCTTGCGTCAGAACCAGTCTGGGGGAAGCGGCACTGCTTTCAAGATTTCGAACCGAAGAGTCGAAGTTGGGTTGGACAAGCCAGGTCCTTTTTGTTCGTTGAAGCTGGGTCGACGAAGAAAAAAAGAGGCGTTGTGTGTTCAGTCGGCGGCTGCGTGCACTCGACTTTGTGGATAGCGAAAGGCGTTGAAAGAAGAACCGGATACCAGGCCGATAAATAACGAAGTGAATCAAATTGGGTCTCAAAAAAAGGAGTGGAATGTGCCGTCAAGGACACGATAAGGAGCGTTTGAAGAGAACGGAAGAAGGGCTCTCTAGGAGTGAAGGGCAAGGGAGAAGAGAAGCGAAAAGAGGACCAGAAGAGAAGGAGTGGCGACGTTAAAAAGGATCGGGCGTGAAGTGACAAGGAGCGGCGACGGGGGAGGCGGCGTGTAGAGAGTAGAGTAGAGGAGAGTGGAAGTGGGAAGTGGAGGAGGCTAGGGAGCGAAGCTGGGATGCTAAAGTTTGCAGTGTTTCGAGATGATGCGCGACCCCGCTACGGGCCCTTGCTGCTGGATACAGGGCTGTTGGGGGGATGCAGCTGGTGGCACGATGCCCTGGGCTTGCAGCAGCAGCTCTTGGCAGTTCTCAGTGGAAGAATGATTATTCGACGATTCTTGAGGCATGACAGATATCTATGTCTTGCATATTTTCTGTGCAGACGGCAGCTATTAATAAATGTTTGCTTTTGCTTTTGCTCTTGCTGGACTCTACTTCTATAAATACGACCAAAGCGCGGGGCGTTTGGAAACATGAACAAACATGAACAAGGCGAAAACACGCGCATGTGCCTGTGCCTGTGCCTGAATTTGCCTGTTCCTGACGCTACGAAACAGGCCAAGTTGCTTAGCTCTGCACTTTAATGCCAGCCTAGCCCGAATCGGGGTCGGAGAAACATTGAATCACGAAACACGGCGGGGTGGGGGTAGAAGAGGCCAGCTGAGCTCCAGCTGGGCGCCTACGTTTGAGCTCTTTTTATCTTCTACTGCAAGAAGATTGCGATGGTATGACATGAAATAGATCAATATCTAGCTCAATCAATATATTCAACATTTATCATTCAAATACAGTGCAGTATTAGAGAGCACGGTTGACCTTTGCACGGCATCTAGGAATCATCACTTGCAGCATCTTCCTGCAACTTGGACGGTGTTTCCTCTGCTCCCACCATCAATACTCCTATTATCAAACAGAAACCCAGAAAGAAGGAAAAATTACCTCAAGTACTTAAAAGAGAAACATTCTAGACCACGGCTCAAGATTAAACGCAGCTGCGCTCGGACGCCAGATGCATATCATTTACCGCTGTGGCAGGCCCCGGCAGTCCAGGATGAGAGATTCGTTGGCCCGCCACCAACGAGCCTGCTGTTGACATCATCAGCCATGTTTCGCTACTCTGGTTTATATGGTCCTTTTTTAATAGTGGTGTTATTTCTTGTTTTCGGGCGCTGAACATCCCGGAGTGAGATTTTCGTATGCAAATCGCAGATGCTCGGCTCTCCAGAGATCGGATGGCACAGCCGCATTGGCGAGAGATGTGAAAAAGGGAAGAAACACCTTGATCGGCAGGTCTCGTGAGTGCCTCAGCATAGCCACCAACATTCTTTGATGATTGCGATTCTGAAACTTGACAGATGCTGCTCTGTGGCTTTTCACATTCTCGACGTTGAGGCTTGTACGAGACCTTGGAGAGGGAGGGTACGCGATGCGTACTGCACCAGCAATTTTTCCATTGCACGAACCGCCCAGGCTTTTCTCTGCTTCATTTACCCCTTGATTATCTAAACCATTGAACGTTGTAATAGCAGCTATTTCCAGTCTATATTTCGGTATATGTATTCTTCTCTTTTTCTACTGTTTTCTTGCAGTCCAAAATACTAGGTAGTGCAATTATTCTTGTTTTCTTCCCCTTTCTGTTCCCTTTTTGTCAAATATTTATCATCATTGCGTCAATTTCTCTTTTCTTGATGCTGTCTGAGATCAATACTCCTTCACTCAAGCACATTAATAGCCCGGTACCCAAGTCTAATCAACACCTCTGGACAGAATATTCTCAATGTCCAATTTCTGACCGCCCAACTCCAACGCAGACTTTACTATCCACACACCCTCGCTCCATCTCCATCTCCATCGATTCCTCATTCCCGCCTCTCACAGCGCCGTGCCTTGCAGCCAGCACCACCACCAGCAACTTACGCGGCACTCACTGCATACTAGATTGTGCCCACTACAGCCAACCAGCGCCGGCGTCTCCATCAAACAAGCTACAGGCGGCGCTGCGGGACTTTTATCCCTGAAACGGCACTAATCGCTCCTGTCCCACCCCCTACTTCATCTCCAGCGGTGCCTGTCAGCCTATGGGGAGCCCGTCCTGCCAGCGTTTCGATGCTTGTTTGCCCCGAGTCGGCGATTGATGCTAATTGATGAGATTCGTACATGCAGGATGTGCTGATATGTCACTCATTTCCAGCCTCGGCCCTCCTTGTCATACTGCCAGGTACAAGTCATGTATGGGCCAGTCCAATTACCGTTGCACCACAATCCCGGCCCGCGTGTTCCGCGAAGAAAGGCGGGAGAAGAGTCGACGAGAATACGGAGTAGAGTAGCATCCAAACACTGATCCCGAGTTTTTTTTTGAAAAGAAACAATAGTGCAAGCCTTAAAAACGCGTAGATCGCCACATCTCGCCAGCTAGATGCGGGGTGCGCTACAGCGCTTGGCAAGTCGCCTTGTTCTACCTACCTGTAGCCTTTGAACTTTCTTTTCTGTCGTCTCCTCTCAGATCCATCTTCTCACTTCAGCCATAGAAACTTGCTTCTGTTACAAACTAGCTTCTGCAGTGGCACTTTGGTGGTCCGCTTCGTGGTTCCGCGCTGGCGAAAAATCGACGCTGTGCTCCGTACGTACAAGTATGTGGTGCGTCTCATGAAGCGCACGACCGGCCGAGGCCCCAGGCCCGGATACACCATCGCACCCTTTTTTTTGTGCTGGGCTGGTTGTGAAATAAATTGATTCTCTATTCTGCAATTTCTGCAAATGGTGCTACGTCTACTAGGGGCGGAGACATGCCATATGCCACCATTATTGCTAATGCCAACAACGCAGAGTGAGACAGCATCTCCATACATTGTTCCCCAATATTGTCGATATCCCATTCCGGCCGGCTATCCGTAAATCTCCCAATCAAGTGGCTCTTACAGGCAGTCTGGTGCTTCCACGCAAGCTTCCATCTCCATCTTTCTCCTCTCTATTATTCCCTCATCATTTCGGTACGTCGGCCCATCTCCTGTAAGTCCCACAAGCCCTGATCGCACATGTCCGCCCCTAGCTGCATCAGATATACTGCCCTGTCCCTAGGATTCCCCATCTTCCAATGTCATCAGGCTAGAGCCGTACCAGCGGTAAATTTTCTCAGTCGGCGTCCGGAACGACTCGACGCCTCGACCCATATTCGCGTGTCCAAGCTTAAGGGGGCCGATTCCTGCATGTCTTACATGCAGCGGTGTTACATACATGCGTTTTGCACTTCGTATCTTGATGCATCACTGTTGACTAGAGTCTCGGTAGAGTAAAGCTGTCCATCAGCTAGCAGATTCCCCAGATGCCGCACCGCAGTCTGTCTCTGAGCATAGCTGGATAGATCTGACACTTCGTGTACGTGTAGTGACTTATCACTTATAGCTCCAGACTTCGTGCTGATGCCCCAGAGCCGGCGTGGATGACTCCACCGGGCAGACGCCACGCTGCATTCATCCCCCCTGATTACTAAGTCTTGTACTGGTCTACGTCCATCCATCCCGTTAGCCTCGCCAAATGCTATATGCTCTAGGTCCTTCATATTTCTTGACCAAGAAGCAATATACATGTAGCTAGATGCCCACAGCAATTTATGAACCTCAGCTCATCAGTGACATCGAGTAAGCCTCCTATTAATCAGTGCCCCGGCTCTCCCGGAACACCTATTACCTATACCGGGTATTAACCACGGAGCCCACATGCCGAAGAGGGTATCTTCTCTCGCTTTGTCGGCTTCTGCTATATCACGGTCCAACGATACTCACATTCCGGGCTTCAGCGGGGACTTTTTCGGGTCTCTAGAGATGGCCCTGTTTGAAACATTGAGCCGCCGGGCTGGAATAGCCCGCTTTTAGTTTTTATCTCCTCAATGAAAAGCAAAAAAAATCTTCTCACGCTTGTTTTTGAAAGATGCAGTTAAGCGCCGGCGCTGCTAGTCTTGAACCCCTTTTCTAGGCGGTTGCTAGTGTAGATGGAGCTCTCCCCACGATCTTGCTTTGGATAACCTGTAGCGGCAGACTGGAATTAAGTGCGAGACATGAAAATGGCAGAATAAGGGACTGCTTTGTGTTTTATTCAGATGGAGTGCAAGTTAATGGTCATTTCTCTTGCAGCCCATGGAAACGACAGCGACACGTGTTGTTACAGAACTACGGCTCTATCCAGCCTTGCTTATACGTGGTGTGTGTTAGTCCTCCCATCTCCAACATATTGATGTCCTTCCACCCATAGGTGGGCACCAGCGTAGCAAGCGAGTCGTATGGCTGAAACAGTCAGACTGTCTTTTTTTTTTTAATCGGGTTCGCCTACTCCATCGTGAAAGGGACTTTTTTTTTTTTTTCCTCTCTCGCTCTATGTTTTTGGCGCCTTGTGTGGAAGACAGCTTTGTGGAACCTGACTGTGGCGGTTTCATCTTCCGCCATCTTTTTTAGGCCGCCCGCACATATGTACAGTCCAGCGAATCCAACGCAAGAGACTAGAGCTGGGGCTCGGGAGGTGCGTGCCACTATAACCCTATTTGATGCCAATCTAGACGAGCTGTCATTGCCCGTTGATAGCATCCTAGCTTCTTGGTTGGCAACCCAAGTTCCGACATAAGAGGCGAGGAGATTATTTTGCATGGCGGTAGACTGTATGTATCGAGAAGCTCAATGAAAGAGCCATGGGGCCTTCAAGTCAAAGTGATACAATATATGCCCAACCTGGGTCTGGCCTGATATATTATGCTGAGCGTTTGTAGTCGATTCAGCCTATCTAGTACAGTTTATAAGCGAGAGGAACGCCTAATATCAAGGAGACAGAGTGACGAGAAATTAACTTCGACGAGCTTCTAGCCAAAACTATGTTTTTAACTTTCATTAAAACAACCCTATTGTCCTCTAATTGTAATATTAATTAAACTTTTTGAACCAGAATTAGTTGAAACACACACGTTATTTTCACTCTGATATCTATAGAATTGGCTGTGCAGCTAACAGATTTGGCATGTACTAATATGTAAATCTACCCTGGATTCGTCTGGTTCGATTTTGAGGCACACATAGTGGTAGTAGCCATCCTGAGATGCAGATAGATTGATGCTCTAAGTAACAGGAAAACTTGCCGCCAATAAGATATTTATATATTTCTCTATTAGACAAGCCTTGAAATTGCAACACGTCGTAAATTGGTAACTTTCAAGACTTACATATACCCTCAGAGAACAAAGAAGAAAATCTTTTATACCATCATTAAGTCGTAATTACTGTGTAAGTCTGTGTCCAAGTGCCTAAAAATATCCCAGCAATATGGCGCCAATGCAGTATACTAATCCCAGATCCCCTTGCCGCCGTATACGGTTCCTATTTGCATCCGAGAGTCGTTCTTCGCTGAAACCACCTCTACGGTGTTCTTGGTCTGGTCCTTGATAGACATCCCATACCGGAGGGCTCCCTCTGAGAACACGTTGCCGACGTGGAACCGCGCCGCGTCTTCCAGCGTGACGTTGCCAGCAGTGTTGCTCCCTTCAATGAGAGCCACCTTGCGCTCCAACGCTTCCTCCAACACCGGGTCAATCTCACTGGCCGCATCCTTGAGCGCCTTGAGACTCGGCTCGTCATTGACTTCTTCAATCTCAAATTCCACAACTTTCTGACTAGTCGTCGTCATCTCAATGGGGAACAGCTTTTCCAACTCGTCAACCCAGGATAAGATCTGGTTGATGATGTTGTCGAGGCTTTTCCCGTCATACAGCGCCCACGCCGATTTTTTCAGTATGCCCACGCTTTTCTGTCTCCGACGGGAAATCTCTGCGCAGCGATTGTGCAGCCGCTGGAATAAAGGGCTCATGTCGTTCTTGTCATAAACCATCAGCTCCTGTGTATTAGCGCGCTTTGCGTATCTTGAGGATTTCTCCCGGGCAGACTTGAAGCAATATTCAATGTCCCCGAGAATCCCCAATGCAGCTTCAACTGCGTCATCAGCCGGCGGGGCAGACGTGAAGCGCTCGTCGCGGTTAACTCCAACAGACTCGCCCCATCGCCCCAGGCGAGTCTTTGCAACGTCTAGTTTAAGTTGGCATCTCTCGTAGTCCTGCCCGAAATGCCGGCCGAGCTGGATGTACTCGAAAGTGTCGACGCAGTTGTTAAAGAGCGCCGCAACGCTCAGTGCGCCGGTGACGATGCCAAAAACTTCGGCCATTATCGAATGTTTAGGGTATGCAAAGTGAGGTTGCTGTATAAGACGAAAGGAGCATAGAGAACATGAATTTGCTGATACTTGACGAACTGTCATGACCGACACATTTATAAATGGCCGCGGCAAGGCAGATTCCCAGCCCCCATGCATCCATAACACAGCCCTCAATTCTTCTAGTCGCCCTTCATACTCGCTGCGGCTATATGGTGCTTGTCATTGGGCGTTATAGTAGCCGCGCGGGGTTTGCAGCCAATTACATGTAATCCATCAATATCCTTGTCCACAATGCTCAACGCTGCGATGCTGCGGTATTTTCTATCCCAGAGAATGGCATATAGGTAGATATATATATATCACAAGGCATAATGATACGATCCCAGATTTGCGTGCTTGGGAGTGTGCGGACATTGAATTACTCTCAGGCGAGCAATCGCCAGAATTGAGATTGCAGCAGCATGGCAGAGACTGTGTCGTCGAATATCCATGTCGGTTATGTCAGCCTCAAAGACAACGCAAGGGCCCATATCGGGAACGTGGTGCATATCCACCAGGCTGAAGACCGTTGCCTTCCTGACCTACGAAACACCGACCCCCGCGACGATAAAGCTCGCATTGAGGCGATAAAAGGCGGCCTATTGGAAGACTCATACCGTTGGATCCTCCAGCATAGCGATTTCCAACAATGGCTCAACGACAAACACAGTCGCCTGCTCTGGATCAGAGGCGATCCCGGCAAGGGCAAGACAATGCTGCTCTGCGGCATTGTGAACGAGTTGAACAAGATCGACGCACAGCTTTCCTACTTCTTCTGCCAGGCATCTGATGAGCGTATTAATAGCGCCACGGCTGTGTTGCGAGGCCTCATCTACTTGATCGTGGATCAGCAGCCATCACTTCTCTCACATGTGCAAAAGAAATACAAGGATGTGGGAGATGCACTTTTCAAGGATGTAAATGCATGGAGTGCATTGTCAGAGATCTTCTTGAATATTTTGAAAGACCTGGACGCAAGCGTGCAGCAGACTTACATAGTCATCGATGCACTTGACGAGTGTGTCACTGATCTACCAAAGCTGCTTGACTTCATCGCCATAAAGTCTGCCGTCTTTTCTCACGTCAAGTGGATAGTGTCTAGTCGCAACTGGCCAGACATCGAAGAGCACCTTGCTATCACTCAGCAAATAAGCCTCCGTTTAGAGCTCAATGAAGACTCCATCTCTGCAGCCGTTAATGCGTACATTAAGCACCAAGTTGAGTGGTTAGCGCAGAAGAAGCGGTATAGTGAAACTACAAAGGATGCCGTTCGGCAGCACTTATTGTCCAATTCTAATGACACGTTTCTCTGGGTGGCCTTGGTGTGCCAGAATCTAGAGAAGATGACGTTGAAGAATACCATCCAACAGCTACATGAATTTCCGCCCGGACTCGATTCATTATACAAAAGGATGATGCAGCAAATACACAACTTGGAGGATGCCAGCGATGTTCAATTTTGCTGTCAAATTCTTGCAACTGTGTTGCATGTCTATCGACCTATAACAGTAGCTGAGCTCGGCATCCTCATTAAGTGTCCAGATGCCGAGTTAATCCACAAGGCCATAGGATTTTGCGGTTCATTCCTCGCTGTGCGAGACAACCAGGTTTATATTATTCACCAGTCGGCTAAAGACTACTTGAGTGGCGATGCAGCGTCTACCTTGCTCCCTAGCCCTGCCATCATTCACGGCGTCATTCTCTCACAGTCAGTGCAAGCTATGTCCGTTACGTTACGACGGAACATCTATAATCTCAATTCTCCTAGTCTCTCAACCAACGAGATCAAGGCACCAGATCCGGATTCGTTAGAAGCTATACGCTATTCCTCTATTTACTGGATTGACCATTTCTGTGATATATATAATCATAATGATGGCCAATCTCAGAAACAGGTTGATGATGAAAAGTGCCAGTTGGTTCTTTCATTCTTTCGAAAGTACTTCCTCTACTGGCTCGAAGCTTTAGGTCTTCTGGGGCACATAGAAGATAGTGTTCTTTCAACCATAAGGCTAGGGAGTCTACTGAAGGTAAGATAATAATAATACTATATTTTTTATCGTTAGGAATGAAACTGATTAATGCAGGAACAATCGTCAAACAATCAGTCTCAAGAGCCAATTCAAGCTACAGGGCGGCTTCACTCTTTACGATCAAGATTTAAGAGCCTATCAGTAGTGAGTGTTTACTAGGTATATCAGTGTCACAAGTGAGACTTAGACTAACTAATAAAGGGAAACCTGCCGGGCCGTCAATCTCCAGACTACCGCACGCAGTTACTGGAATTTATAAAAGACTCACAGAGGTTTATATGGCGGAATAGTTCACTCATTGCAAATAATCCACTCCAAGTCTATACATCAGCGCTTATTTTCAGCCCCTTAAACAGCTTGATACGAAGACTATTCCAAGAGGAGGAGCCACAATGGGTGAACATTACTCCTACAGTTGAATATAACTGGAGCCCCTACTTACAGACTCTGCGGGGCCACGACCATTGGGTCAGAGCGGTTGCTTTCTCACCAGATGGTCGTTATATCGCCTCAGGGTCAGAGAACAAAATCATAAAGATCTGGGATGCAACAACGGGGAAAGAGCAGCACACCATTCAAGGCCACAAACGCGCAATTGCATCACTTGCCTTTTCGCCAGACGGCCGCTACCTTGCATCTGGCTCAGAAGATAAAACTGTAAAGCTCTGGGATACAACAACAGGAAAAGAGCAACGAACCATTCACGACGGCTTAGGCTGTTTAGTTACATCGGTTGCCTTCTCATCAGATGGCCGCTATCTTGCATCAGGGTTAGGCGATGGGACTATAAAGGTGTGGAATGCCAAAACGGGCGAAAAACACCAAACACTTCGAGGTCACACACGTTCAGTTACATCAGTCGCATTTTCATCAGATAATCACAACCTTGCCTCCGGGTCAGAGGATAGAACAATAAGGATCTGGAATGCGATGACGGGCAGAGAGCAGACAATACTTCAAGGCCATGAACGTTTAGTTACATCAGTTGCCTTTTCGCCGGATGGCCGATATCTCGCATCAGGATCAGAGGACAAGACTATCCACATCTGGAATATGAAAACAGCCAGTGTTCATCAAGTCCTACAAGGTCATAGCGATACAGTTGCATCAGTTGTCTTCTCAGCAACTGGCCTCTATCTCGCTTCAGCATCAAAGGATAAGACTATTAAACTATGGGATATAACAAAAGGCACAACACAAAGCTATCAGGGTCATAGCCGTGCAATTAACTCGATTGCTTTCTCAGCTGGTGGCTACATTGCGTCGGGATCCGATGATACAACTGTAAAGATCTGGGATACAACGGGCAAAGAGCAACAAATCGCGCATAGTGATACTTCACTAATTTCTTTCTCACCAAATGGCCGCTATTTTGTGACAGCAACACGGGAAAAAAATCTCAGCACATGCACTTTAAACTTTTGGGACACAATAGGCAATAATCGGTATATCCTTGGAAGCCATGGCAACTGGATTGACTCGGTTGCCTTTTCAGCAGATGGACGCTCTCTCGCCTCCAGATCGGCTGATACTATAAAAATCTGGGATGTAAGAGGCAAAGAGCGACTGACGCTGGAGGGACACAGTGCTACAGTCATGTCAATTGCTTTCTCAGCGGATGGCAGATACCTCGTCTCAGGGTCATTTGACAAGACTGTGAAACTTTGGGATTTGGCAACAGGCCAAGAGCAGCAAACCTTTCGAGGTCATGTCTACGCAGTTTGGTCAGTTGCCTTTTCTGCGGATGGCTGCTACATCGCTTCAGGCTCATACGACTATACTATAAAGATCTGGGATGTAAGAGGCGAAGAGCGAATGACCCTAAAGGGTCACAGTGATATAATCACTTCAGTCGCTTTTTCATTAGATGGCCGTTACCTCGCCTCAGGGTCGTATGACAAGACTATAAGAATCTGGGATACGGCAACGGGCAAAGAGCTGCAGGTACTTGAGATTGGCACTGAGGTGCATACTACATCCTTTGATGTTACAGCCTCGTGCCTTTACACTGAAATCGGCCTGATAAAATATAATAAGGAACATGGTATTAAGGCCCAACCTATGATGGCAACTCAGTGTCTTTCTCCAGATTCAGATCCGGCCAAGGGCCAGCATCAACGCCAACCCAGTACTGACAATACTCAAAAGGCAAACTACAAGTATGTTGGCTATGGAATAAGCACCGACAAGTGTTGGATCACATGGAATGGGCAGAATATACTGTGGCTTCCGCCAGACTACCAGCCTTCCTCCGAGTCGGCTATCGGTGGCTATGGACCACACAATCTTACGTCGCCAGAGGAGCCGTTGGCAGATATTAAAATTGCAATGCGTAATGATTCAGGAAGGGTGACGATGGTTAGAATGCCTAGGTCGGGGCCATATCCCTCAGTATAGTCTTCTTTTTTCTCTGCAAAGTAGAAGATTCTAGGAGACTATGTAGATCTTCAGTATTTCATAAGCGGGTGAAACGAACTTTATCGCATGATGTTGTAACTCAGGTGTAAGCTGATATGTGCATGACACCAAAGCTGATTCTTGGTGGAAACCACGAATGTTGACATTATCAACGCTCAAGTTTGCTTGTGATGGATTCTAGCGGAGGAGACTTCAGTACCTACCTCTTTGTAGTTAAAAATCTTGGCTTAATGAGGCTATCCGAGCGTGACTTAATATGCAGTCCACAAGAGTGTCTTCAACTCGCAAAACATCAGAGAGCAAATCGAAGAGTTAACCCCCAGATTGGTTTCCTAATTCAAATATTGTTGGTTGGTCGATGTGGGCACAAGTGCTCTACTGCACTCGGCCTATCGTCTAGAATACTTCCCACCAGTTCTTTTTTCGAAAAAGAAAAAGCTACTAGCAAATACTAGTACAATGAATAACAAAACAAACGTATTTCATCCCTTTCCCAATGTTGAGATTAGCCCGGCGCTTTCATAACCATAATACAGAAAATATTTGTTTTTCTTTTAGACCCCGCTATGCGCCGTGTATGTTCATCTTATAAAAACAATAAAAACCATGTTGAAATGTGGTTCTCCCTTTGAGGTGATTCAAAGTCTAATGATGTCGTGATATTTACTTTGTGTAAGTGAAATGTTTGAAGAAGGAAAAAGTTCGAGACTCTCAAAGAATCCTCGAATGTAGCCCATGTCTACTGATTTAGGCAGAGTTGGTGGTGTCCTCAACAGGAGGGCAGGTGCAGAACAGGTTGGTATCACCATATGCTACAAAACGAGGTTAGTAAACAGGAAACATGTATTTTTAGCAGTAAGGGGAAGCAGGTAAACTCACTATCGTCTACACGTCCAACGCTGGGCCAGAACTTCTTCTCGAGCAGATACGGCAGCGGGTATGCGGCCTTCTCTCGCGAGTAGGGTCTGTCCCACTTGCCCTCGGCATCACCAAGGATCAAATCCCTCTGCGGGTGAGGGGAGTTCTTGAGCACATTGCCCTCCTTGGGTTGCTTGCCCTCTTCGATCTCGCGGATCTCGTTGCGGATGCTGATCATGGCATCTACAAATCGGTCCAGCTCCTCCTTGCTCTCACTTTCAGTGGGCTCAACCATGAGCGTGTTAGGCACAGGCCAGCTCATAGTAGGGGCGTGGAAGCCATAATCCTGGAGACGCTTGGCAATATCGATAGCCTCGATGCCGGCAGTCTTCTGGAAGGGACGAGCATCGATGATGAATTCGTGAGCGCAACGGCCCTGCTCGTTGGTGTAGAGAATGGGGTAGTGGTCCTTGAGGCGGGTAAGCATGTAGTTGGCGTTAAGGAGAGCCACAGTAGTAGCCTTGCGGAGACCCTCGTCACCTAAAGGAACACAGCATTAGCAATAAATCTTTACAACAAGTCTTTTAGAAACTTACCCATGGTGGAGATGTAAGCCCAGCTGATGGGGACAATGCTAGCACTGCCAAAGGCGGCACTGGAAACAGGAGTCTGAGTGCTCTTGTGCGGCAAGTAGGGGATGAGGTGCTTCTTGACACAAATAGGGCCAATACCGGGTCCACCACCACCGTGAGGGATACAGAAGGTCTTGTGCAGGTTCAAGTGGCAGACATCAGCACCCAGAGCGCCGGGAGAAGTCAGTCCGATCTGAGCATTCATGTTGGCGCCGTCCATGTAGACAAGACCGCCGTACTGGTGGACGAGATCGCAGACCTTGCGAACCTGAGGCTCAAAGACACCGTATGTGCTGGGGTAAGTGATCATGATGGCACCTAGCTCGGAGGCGTGCTTCTTGCACTTGGCTTCCAGATCTTCCAGGTCGAGGTTACCAGTCTTGGTGTCGCACTTGACAGGCACAACACGCATGCCAACCATTGCGGCGGATGCAGGGTTGGTACCGTGGGCAGAAACAGGAATCAAGCAAATGTCACGCTTGTTACCAGGCTGCTGCTCGTGATACTTTCGGATTGCTCGGAGACCAGCAAACTCACCCTGAGCACCAGAGTTGGGTTGCAAAGACGTAGCATCCATGCCGGTCAGAGCTGCGAGCTGAGAGGAGGTGGCGTCAAAGAGCTTCTGGTAGCCCTTGGCGCAGCTGTGGGGTGCGTGAGGGTGCATGTTGGCAGTATTATCCGTACCAATGAGCTCCATCTGGGTGGTGCCGTTAAGCTTCATGGTGCAGGATCCGAGAGGAATCATAGAGTGAACTAAAGATAGATCCTTGGACTGCAGGTGATACATGTAGCGCAGCATCTCCGTTTCGCTGTGGTGAGAGTTGAAGACAGGGTGGGTAAGGAATTTGGACTCTCGTCGGACAGAGGCGGGCAGACTCTTGATGAGTTCTTCTGATGACTGTGCGAATCCGGCTTTCCAGCACTTTGAGGAAACATCGAGGTCAGCATCGGCGTGGTTCTTGTACGCAACGGTCTGGAAAGCCTTGACGATGCGGACAAAGAGCTTGAGGGTGAAAGTGGTAGGGACCGCGAGGACAATCTCGTTGGGAGACCAGGATTTGCCGGTGCTGATGCCTTGATCCATGAGCTCACGACGCAGAGAGCGGCAAACAACAGGCTCGTCAAAGTAGAGTGAAACGGTATCGGAGAGGACCTTGCCCTCAGCGTCAACGGAAGCAGTCGCAACATTCAGACCATAGTGTTGAGCAGCAGCCTGGATCATGCGGGCGTGTCGAAGGTTGTTGATGGCCATTTCTCTGAGCTGTTCGGGGCCGTGGTAGATGGCATACATGGCGGACATGTTGGCCAGAAGAGCTTGAGCAGTGCAAACATTGCTGGTTGCCTTTTCTCGTCGAATGTGCTGCTCTCGGGTTTGAAGAGCCAAGCGAAGAGCTCGGTCTCCTCGACGGTCCTTGGAAACACCAATCAAGCGGCCAGGGAGACGTCGCTTGCTGCCATCCTGAACAGCCATGAAAGCAGCGTGGGGTCCACCGTAGCCCAGAGGAACGCCGAATCGCTGTGCGTTTCCAAAAGCAATATCAGCACCCCATTCACCGGGAGGCGTGAGGAGAGTCAAGTTGGAGAGGTCAGTGGCAGCACTCAGCAAGGTACCCTGCTTGTGTGCAAGATCCGCAAGCTCCCGGAAGTCAGAAACACCGCCGTTTGAGTCTGGGTACTGGACCATGACACCAATCAAGTCGTCGCCGAGAGTCTTTATCTTCTTCTGGGCATCCGGCGCAGACAGATCCAAGACCTCGATGTGAATGCCGAATCCTTCGGCGCGGCCATGCATGACCCTAATGGTAGCGTCGTGCACCAAGTGAGAGACAACATATGTCTTTCCAGGTCGCTTCTGTCTGGAGCTTGGCAGGCTGGTCAGGGACATGGTCATGGCCTCGCTAGCTGCGGTTCCTTCATCAAGCAAACTGGCGTTTGCCACAGGAAGGCCGGTCAGATCAGACACCATGGTCTGGAAGTTGAGCAGCGACTCCAAACGGCCCTGGCTGATTTCAGGCTGGTAGGGGGTGTAGCTGGTGTACCAGGCCGGGTTCTCCAAGACATTGCGCTTGATGACGGCGGGAATCTCAACAGGGTAGTAGCCGCCGCCGTTCATCCACACTCGAATGTCATTCTGCGCATTCATGTTCTTGAAGGCCCTCACAACTCCGGATTCGCTGAAGACGCGGGGCTGGATCGTCTTCTGGGGAGGATCCAGCACATCCGCGGGAATGACCTGAGAAATGAAGCCATCCATATTCTCGGCTCCCAGGGCATTGAGCATCTCCTGGATCTCCTCGTCACGAGGGCCAATGTGGCGAGCGCTAAAGTCCTTCCATGGCAGCTTGTTTTCAGCGCGAATCTTCCTCATCTCCTGGTAGGCCGGATCATCCTGCAGAGACTCAAACGGCGCTCGTCGCAGCGCGCCGTTGTCGTCCAAGCCAGCGCCGCGAACACCAGCAGCGCTTTTGGCAGTGTAAGTGAGGCCGCGGGTGGATAAGAGAGACCCTTGTCCGCGAGCGCAAATCCTCGCTTCGTGTCGGGTCAGCGCCAGCGATGGGCGCAGGGCAGCCCCTCGGGCAATAGCCAGCCTGGAGGCCATGGCAGAAGGGAAAACAAAAACGGAAAAAAACAAGTTAAAAAGCACAATCAACGGCCAATTGTGTCCCTCGATGCTTGAGAAAGGAAAATAATAAAGGAGGAAAACAAGGGCAGGGCAACGAAAATTTGAACCGATCCCGCCCGGTTGATAAAAGATTTGCCTCTAATCAAACACCCCCCAGAATGATGCGCAGGTACTTTGTTGGATGGCTATCGAAAAGTTCGTGGCGGATCTTTCGTGGGGCGTTCCGGTACCCGTGACAGCGCTAAAAAGTTCGAAGCCCTCGCCAACGTCGACGGCGTCAGAAGAAAGGAAGATCAAGCATTTATATCTTTTTGCCTTTCTCCTTTCTCCCAATGCGCCGACCGCCGTCAGTAGAGTCAAGCAGCAGAATACCTCGAACAGGCTAGACCAGACGGCAATGCTGTGAGACGGTGAAGCAGCAGCAAGCCAACTGGCAAGTCTCCGATACTGGCTGCATTCACGAGCTCAGGCCAGGGACAGCCGCCATCTTATCGGCCATGACACGCCAGATGGATATCACAGGGGCTCTGCTGCGTCTCCTTGGCAGTCCCCAGGATCCGGATATCGCATTGATAAGCCCATGGCTGCTTGTACCGCATGCGTCCGTCCAAACAGCCGCTCTGGAATACTGGAGTCGACTCCGCAGTCATTTGGAGAAGTGCCGTGCTTGGATGCTTGGAGCATAGTGCGTCACGACTCGTGCCCACCGCGAAAAAAACCTTTGCAAAGCGCGAGCTTAATCTTTCTCCCGAGTTGGAGACTACAGGTTTTGGTTAGGTGATGAGTATCTTCTTCAGGCCATGTGGTCGCTGCCACTGTGCGGTGCTAAAACGATATCGGCCACTGACGGGCCGACGCTGAGCGGTCACGGCGGCTTCTGATTCGCTGCCGATGCTATCTGCCCGTGGAAAAGGCAAATGGTTCCGGGCCTGGGGAAGTTTTTTTCTTTTTTTCTTCTGCCTGCAGCTCCATTTTTTCCATATGATCTTCTCATGCATTAGCACTATCGCTATCGCCAATTACCTTCCTAGTAGCGTCTCAAGCTTTTGCTGCAGAGCCCACAAAAGCATTTCGTAGATTTCTATGTACTACTACCTCTGCTAAATTCTATCACTTGTAACTTCAGCGGCTCTGGTCACGCACTGTACCGCCCTCCAGCCTACGCAAAACTAGCTCACCAGCAGCCGAAGTCGCCCGTCTTTTACGTAACTGTCCAACTTTCCAACCTCGACTAAACAACAACAAACAACAAATCAACCATCACCATGTTTGGAGGATGTACGTACATTTCGGCGCCACCTCTTCCCTTATTGAGACGCGACGGGACATATTGCTGCCGCGTGATGTAATTAACCTCGTTCACAATTGCTGACAATACCCCGAAAATAGTTGCCCCCCCGCAGCAGTCTCCCGAGGAGATTCGAGCCATGGAGGCCGAGGCACTCTTTACCGTCCAGCAGGTCGCTGCTACGGCCTTCATGCTCTACCTCTGTAGGTCTTGACACCGGAAGAATTGGAAATTCTTCGGAATTCGGACTGTACAGGGCACTAACTTAGCGATACAGCTCCTTTTGCCGTCGACATGATCAGCCGCATCTTCTAAATCTCGCCCGAAAAAAAACTCGTATATAGGATATGGTTCTATAAAAACATGCATCACCCTTCGACCTAGTATACCATCATTAAATTGATGTAGCAATGTCAAGGAGATCAACCTTGCCAGTCTCCAAAGCGCATCGCTGTACGATAGATGGTACCCAATTGAGGTTACATAAAAAATTCTGCATCTCGAGTCACTGGAGACGGGACGAATTCGAGGCAAGACAACGATAGAATCGGAAAAGATACAATAAAAACTTCAAATCTCCATTACGAATAGTACGAATGACCGATTTGAAATGGTCGAGATTTCATATATGGTATATATGGCCGATGAAGATGTGCATGCCTTCGAATCCTGTCTTGGTATTTGTCTACCCATTACCGCAGCAGCCTACAATCCTTGAAACAAAAGTCGACTCAAATCCCTCTTGCCTTCTATCGCATTAGAAAAACGTCGTCATGACGAACATCTCACTCGGTTTAATACATGAAAATCCACGAGTCTCCAAATTCAACACCAGCATTATAGCCTCGGTAAAACTCCCTCTTTGCCAACACAATCTTGTGGAATTTCCAAAAGAAACCCCCTTTTTCTCATCGAGACCGTGATGGCGGGTTTCTGCTGTTCTCCCAATCCTGGTAGTCCACGCCCAGCGCCTCCAGCTCCTTTTTCAGGTGTCCGAGCTGCTTCTCGTAATCTTCCAATACCTATAATCGTTGTGTTAGCCAGCCATAAAATTCCATATCCATTGTTCTGGGTACCAAACTCACTCGTTTTGCTCTTGTCTGCGTCTCCTCGTCCAGTCCCTCGCCGTCGGCTCCTGTTGGCTTTTCCAGCTCTTGGCTCAGCTTCTCAGAGTATCCCCTCAAGACAATCAGCCTGCTCCACAGCTCTTCCTCCCTTGCGCTGACCGCAGGGTCTTGCACATCGCGCTCCAAAGCTTGCAGCCTGCTCTTCAGATCGTCCTCATCGCCACTCAGAGCGTAGCCTCGATTCCTCAGAATCTGCACCTTGGCAGCCAGCGCCAGGCATCGATTGGAAATCATCGTCTGCCGCCTCCTGGCAGCTAGAGCTCTGGTTTCTGTCTCCAGCTCGTGTCTCTGCAAGAGAGCATCCAAACAGCCGTTGATCTGATGTAGTCGTGTGTTAAATTCGGAGATGGCACGCTTCTGTGTCTTTAATCGGTCTGCGACGCCTGTGTAACCTGCGCATAGCACGGGCATGAATCCAGGGGCGGGCTTGTTCTGCAGAGCTTCCTCCCACTCTCTAGGGTCTTCGTGTGCTTGGGGTTTGTAGAAGGGAATGTGTGCTTCATCGACTTTGTTGTAGAAGTAGTGCTTGAAAACGCAGCTGGGGCTAGAAGGGTCCCATTTCTCTGTCACGAGCTTCATCTGCTCCAGAATTGGCTTCTGGTCTATTTGCATCATCATGGTGTTAGCAAGGGAAAGAGCGATTCTTTGTATTTGAGACCTACGGGGTGTTTCTTGACCTGGCTGCCACAGAGAGCTAGACAACTGGGCTTGTGACTGCGATAGCGCTGGAATCTGCGCTGCCTGTTGAGGCTGGGACAGCAGCGTGTTTCCTAGTGTCGAGGCCTGCTGGCCTGTGCCTTGGGTCTGGCCAAATATGTTGCCCGCCGTTTGTGTCTGCTGAGCAGGCTGAGCAGTTTGAGGCGCGCCAAAAAGCCCTCCCGAGCCAAGAGGCTTGGGTTGTCCAAATAGCGACATGATGAAGAGTAGATCTAGGACCTCCAGAAATTGCTCGAAGTATAATCTAGCTCTCGAGGAGCTTCGCGAACGGAGTCGGGGACGCAAATCGTATCGTAATTACTATTATAAAAGTTTAATAGCGCTTGATTCGACAAATTGGCTGCCGCGTTGTCGTCAAAATTCGCATGTGTTGACGTTTGGATGTTTTCTCTTCGCTCGACAGGTTTGTTGACTTGCTACAAAATTGCTGCTAGGGTCGCGCTCAGCAAAAGGTACCCTGGTACCGCGAAATCCAGCCTTGCCTACTGCTAGCCAATCACAGCTCATTTTCAGAAGCGGGACACCAGCGTCTTGCTGAGTCATCAGCTTTAATGGCGAAGCTACATTGCACTACTTGAAGTACCTATCATGCCTACTGTATCTGCGCTAAATAACGCGATTAAAGCCAGATCCAAGTATCTTTTGCAAAATTAAACTCTCACTAAGTACTTGCAGAAATCAGTTCAACTGCACCAGCAAGGCTACGGTTGCTGACCCCCCAGCCGCGTTTGATTGGCCAGAGCAACTACAATCTTTCAACTAAGCAGCCGTCCAAAGAACCTCATAGCTCCATTCTCCTACCGGAAGCCTCACAGAGGGTCAAGCAAACATCCGGCAATCATGGCGTCACGACGGTCCCAGTACGTTTCTTAAGCCTCAAAAAGCCGACTGCGATATCATTGAGTCGCTTTGACGTAGCATTGGCAAGTCTCTTTCGGCAGCAATTCTAACAAGTGGCAGATTCCACCAGCAGGTGCTCATCGACACCACTCCTCTTCCCGACAACATCCCCCAGGTCCAGGAGATTGGTGCCTCCTCTGCGCCTCTGCTATCAGCCTCTTTCTTTATCGGTGCCCGATGCCGCGACTACAACGATGATTACATGCAGTGCAAGACCGAGAACCCCGGCAAGGGAGAGCTCAACTGCTTGACGGAGGGACGAAGGGTAACCCGCTGCGCCCAGAGCGTGTACGTTTTCCCCTCTGCCTACGAGCAGGATCCATGATATTCTTTCGCATTGGAGTTGGACTGCCTATGTCCGGGAAGTGGGCAATCGTACGAGTGACTTATATTTGAAGGAGGGGTACTGATGTTTTGGGGGGCATGTAGGCTCACGGATATCAACACACACTGCTTAGCCGAGTTCCGCAAACACTGGGAATGTCTCGATAACCGAAACCAGCAGCTATGGCAGTGCCGCCCTGCCGAGTGGAAGCTCAACAAGTGTGTTTACGACAACTTGGTACGTCTAAACTTTTACCCGATGATAAATCAACACATTCAACGAACCCCACGATTGCTAATTCGAGTCTGGCTTTAGAAACTGGAGAAAAAGATTCCCGATCAGCCCACCAACGTTACTCCCGTTGAGCTGAGGACGAAGCAGATTTTTGCCGATGTGCGAATTGGACCCGGTGATGGCAAGCCTTTCACCGCCGGAAAGTCAGAGGCTTCACAGTAGACAGAGACAAAGAGTTCAAGTTATGCGTCATGTACAATTGTCACTTGAGTCAAAATAATAACTCACCAACATATTGCGTACCACACTTTTCATGATTGGTGCTTGCTTTCATTTTTTAGTGAGAAGGTGTTTTTGAGGGGTCTGCACATCAGAGATGAGAGCGATACATCCATGAAGCCAGTAATCAACATAGAACAGTAAAAAAGTGACGCAGTACACAGGTCAGCTCTTTAGCCAACCAAAATTGGGCTTCGACTTTATTGCGCTCGTTCACAGCCGCATCCACGCAAATCAAGTTGCCTCTTGCAAACTGATTTGTTGGTCATGTTGCAGTCGCTGAGTTGAGATATCACGGCAGCCGTAAAAAAAACCGAGTTATCTCCACCAACATGTTGGTAGTCTGACTGAGCTGCCAGAGTGATGTGCAAATGCTTGGCGTATGCCGAGGCATTTGAGATGAGGGGATACAGAAAACACATGCTCTTTCATGTGAACAAGTATCCCTCACAGCAGCAAAATTTTTATTTCCTGATGACAAGTTGCGTCTGGTTTTGGCTAGGTGATTATTATTACTTGATAACTACATGTGTATCAATCATGTCTATGAGCGATTATCGTGAAGTTCACAAATGAAATGTCTTGACCCACAAGGTCCGTGTATTCTACTTGCTTTTCCTCTCCGCCATTTTGGCGTGATGCAATACCAGTTTTATATCCTGCGAGGCACCATCTAACTTATCAAAATCCTCGATTTCGAAAAAAATTATCGATGTAGTGTGTAACCAAGAGATCGTAGAGATGTCTCCGCGTTCAGTCCTGTTCGTCGCTAGGCGGTATAATAATTCTTAACGAGCGTCCTTGTCTACCAGCAACGACAGCCCTTCGATCTCTAGGATCTGGTAGAGTAACCGAAGTTCTGTCGGAAAAGATGCTTGTGGGACTTTGTAATGTTTCTTCGGATGAGCTGACGGGGGAAATGAGTTTGGTGTCGGACAACAGCGCAGTGGTAGAAACCAGCGTCGCATCCGAGTTTTTTCTACTGCTCGAAGAAGATAAGAGAAGAGATCCCGATGCAGATTGTGTCAGGAGCCATATTTTCTGCTTATCCGCTAGAATCGAGTCAAGACTCTCGATTGTGAGCACGGTATCAACCGAAGGATGCCTATCTCCCTCTCTGAAGAATGCTGGCTCTTCGTCGGCTTCCTCTGTGTCTGGCTCATCTCCATTGCTTTCTTTTTCGCGTTTGTTCTTTCTATATCGTCGGTATGTGATGCAAGCGGTGAGACCCAATGTATAGACAGTCAGTATTACAATTATGGGTATGACAACAGGGGCAGCCCAGGGCAAAGAGTGTCGCGACTGTTGTATTGGTTAACCAACGGCGTTCTAGGAGCAAGAAAAACATCCAAAAACACACACATCAAGGGAGGAAGTCAACTTACAGATTCACTAAGTCTCCAAGGAGGAGAAGCCGTCCAACCCGACCGAGCATCTCGAGAGGATGTGAGCCACAGGGTATACAGCTCATCATCAAGGTGGTCTGGCGTCCACAAACGGGTCGCATCTTCGTTGTTCATGCCATCTAAGCAAAGGCGCTTTGAGTGAGTCTTTATACCCTTAGTCTGGATATTGCTTCTTACTCACCTGTCAAATTTGAGATCAGTTCGAAAGCAGCGATTCCATTTCTGGGATAGGTAATCTTGAATAGCCCAAGCTCTGGAGATAGAGCATCGTCCAAAGACTCGTTCCACCTGATCGTAAATGGACGACCATTCGAAATGCTATCATTCCATTTTTCATTCAGAAATCGCAGACCAAATCCTTCATTCGTAGCTCCAGTGAAGTTATGTGGTTTGGAGTTCATACTGCGAGCTTCCTATGATCATATCGACCTGTGGAAACTTTTGTGAGCGAATTTATGTTGGCGAAGCTGAGAAGACTGGTGTATGAACTCACTCAGGTTTCGTTCTAGAAATCACTGGGACAGGCTGGAACACAATAACTGGAGCATAGGAAGTCCGGCATTAAGTAGTGATTTTCATTATAGTGAGCACCTGGGCGAACAAGTAGTGAGAGAATGGTTGGCTGGCGAGAAGTCTCAGTCTGCAAGGGAGAGCTATGGCGTATTTAGTCATTAAATCAGGAAGTCAAGTGCCGAAAGGAGGGGGAGTGTGAACTGAAAAACGGCATCGCCGGACCTGGTACTATCGTGAAGAGAGGAAAGCAGAGTGGCCGGGGCATAGATTGGGCGGCACAAGGTGCTTCTTTTGCTGGCTAAGGTCACGATGGCATCTCATCGCCTATTAGCTCCTTCTAAAGGGACGCAATTCATTTCACGATGGTTTCGCTGGCATGCTTAGGCAGAGTCAGTAGCATATGTACCATAGATAACTTTGGGGCTTAAGTTAGCGGTACTGCTGGACCGGATTTAGGCGCATCTGTAAACAGGTATACACAATGAATACTTGCAACAAGTTCTCACTCCCAAATATACATAGTAAAAAGAGGTAAATAATTTTCTGTCTGAAAATCCGATAATCTAAAGAAACGAGGTGTGCCGTGGAGAGGAAATGCTGAGACTTCGTATTCTGTCGATGTGAACGGATCTCCTACTGGGACCGAGGATCGAGATAAGTGGTCCCGCATCTTGCTTTGGAGCTGTAGAAAGATCTTCAGTCTTGCGTCAGGATGAACAATGAGTGCCGAGAGTCGACAAAGGATCCGTCGAGTAAACGGCGTAGCATGGGGAAGATCGAACGAATGATCTGCCTGGGAACACTCACAGGCAAGGCTGGGGAAGGCTTGCGGCGGTTGCCCGAGAGCGCGTGAGGGCGAAGCCTGAGTTCTGGTATGCATACAGCATTCCGGAGGCCAGAGGCGCTACCATAGCAGTGAGACAGGGCAATGAGGATGGGCTCGTAGGGGATATGAAGTGTGATGGATCATGAAGGTGGCAAGCTTTGGAGACGATGAAAAGGACAGGCTGAGCAACTGGCCGCCCAAGCTACTACCTGTATCCCAGATCTTGATGCCTTCCAATCAGGTGCAGGAGGTACGTACTCACGTACTCCGTATCGAAGGCTGAAATTGGCAAGAACACGGAAGGAGACGGCAGCAGCTACTCCACAGCACCGCGATGCACCTGCCGAAGCGCCACGGCAGAGCGGGTGGGGCGCTGAGGTTTACTAGCGATAAGGAGCTTCCATTGGCGGGGCAGCTTCAGGCCCTTTTGCTAGTAAACATCAACATCAATCATCACGTTGCCGCAGACCAGTCTCTCTGCAGGATTCGCCGTTCGCCACCCACCTCACATGCGGGCGACTGCAGTCAAAAGGGGCTCCACGCACAGGTGCATGCTCTAGAGTAGTCTTCTGCGAGACCAACTTCTGACAGGCCAAAGATAGCAGCGCACAGCGAGCAAAGCAAGACATCGAGCCGTCTTCCCCAAACGCGAGCTCCGACTCCACATTCTCCAGCGAGACCAGGCTACAAATCGGGCTTGGGCTCGAACTCTGCTTCTCTGCTCCCAACTCCTCCGAATCTCGGCATCGTGAACTCCGGGCCCCCAATGGCTGCCAGGACGGGCCCAAGCGGTGGCGCTGGCGCTTACGCCGACTGCGTCGACTCGCTACGCAGCTCTCTCAAATTCCTCGAGGCCTCTGTGGAGACAATTGATCGTGGCGTGTCGGATTTTCCTCGTATGATGGGCGTCCTCAAGACAGTTCGGGTGTGTGCCTCCTCATCGTCAAATATTCGGTGTCCATTATCGTTGACATTGCTTGCAGCACTACGAACTCATTCCGCAGCCTACACTGGCTGCGGCTGAGGCCTCCCTCCGAGATGAGATTGGACCCTATATTGCCTTTCTGCTCAGCCGTGCCGACGCTCAAGTTGAGCGACAGGAACGCCGTATTGAGACTCTCAAAGCTCGTGCCGACTTGCAACAGGGACGGCTCGCTAGACCAGATGAGCCAGCGCGTAAACCTGCTTCTGCACGGAGTCGACAGCTCCGTGGCGAGGACAAGCTTCGCGCGAGGATAGTACGCCAACGTAAGGAGGCTCTACGCTACGGTATCGAGAGATTGGAGCTTGAAGTGCTCCAAAAAGAAAGAGAATTAAAGAAAACGCTTGGATAGCCAATGAACGCCCGGAAAATAGAGCACTAGGCAACTTGTTCAACGCCCATCGGGCGCTTTGAGTATCCCTCAAAACCAGAAGATTGCTCCCCAGGGAGAGGAGATGAAAGGGAAAAACAGAGAGTCATTCACGCATTCTCATCTCCTTCTATCTTGCAACACCACCACGACACCGGCAAGATCGGCTTTCACGATGCCTCTGTCTCCGCGAAAAGCCTCCCGCATACCAGTCCGATCAGCAGCGCCCGTCCCCCGAATTTGGGCCTTCACAAGCCTGCCTTTTACATACAAGCCCGGTTTGAGGCAAGCAAAACAACATGTCTCGCCCTACTTAACTTTTTTTCCTCAGACTGAGGACAGAGCAATCCCTTAATTTGGGTGTGGTCTAGACCAAGCGCCATGACCTCGTGCCACAGGGCCATCGGGTCAGGCAATCAGCTTTTACAAACACAATTGCAATGCCATACCTCTCCTCCTGGCATGCTTCGTGAGCTTCCGCATTTGGAATACCGCCAGCATGATGCTTGTAACCACTCCCTCAGTGTTACGCCCAATTCAATCTGTGGGAAAGCCTTATTAGCTTAATTTTCAAGTACAAAAAGTTGCGACTACATTGAATTAGAATTCCACTCCCCCTTTCTTTTCAATTTTCCTGAATGCAGGTTGTAATTGCACTAAATCAAATTTCTACTCTGTTTTCCCTTCAATTTTGTCAAATAAAATCTGCAAGTCTACCAAATCAGAATTCTGCTATCCCTATGCAGCTTATTACATGTTTACACATACATTTTCAACCCAGCCTCTCTTCAATAACCAAGTAGAGATAGATTTCCTCTCTCTTTATGATAGCAAAAATCTTCGCAGCGTACATCTTCAAACTTCAAACCTAAAACAAGGAACAACAAGGTATCATTTCAAAAAAAAAAGTTTGTCTCATTCAAACATCGGCCTCCCAATGGCGTTTTGTATTGGGTACACATTTGACGACTCCCTACTTTTTATTTTCTACTACACAGCGCCCGAGTCTCGTATCGCGCCTCTCTCTTCTTAGCCTCTTCAATTTTCTTTGCTTCTGCAGCGTTCTTCCTCCTTTGACCTTTTTTTTGCTGCGAAACTCGCATACATACACGACTAACCTCCCAGCTTCACTGGCTTGCTCAAGGGGGGGAAAAAACAAGCCTGAAAACAGAAAATAGGAAAAATAAAGCAAAACAATAGATCGTAGCCTAAGGAAGACTGAAGAAAGGGAACCTCTGCATCATTGCTGCTGCTGTTTCTTTATTTCTTTCTTTCTCTTTCTGTAATTCCACGCTTAGAGGAAAGGATATCTGATGAATTGAGGAAGAGTCATGGAAAGATGTGGAGGAAAAAAATCATTTCTAGCAGCAGATGGCAGCGTAAGAAGAGTAGGAAATAACATGAACAAATAAAAGAAACGTCTCATACGTTGATAATAAGATGGACAAAAGAAGGTGAATAATAGAAACGTTCAGCTTCCAAAAGCCGAAAAGGGCAAAAAAAAAAAGAAGAGTCAAAATTGAGGTGATGTTGATGCATGCAACCTTCAGTCCGCTGCCGCCTCTTTTGAGTAGACTCGTCCAAATGTACTCCATCCAATATATATCCCTAACCCAATTGCGCAAATTCCTCAGAGTCGTTACTCCAAGGCGTGAATAATAACAACCAATATAGCGGAACCTCAATTCGGCAAGAAAGATATTTCCGCTTTCAGAGCCGTCATAGCTCATAGCAATTCGAGATAGTTGCTAGGTGCAATACCAGTCTGTCCGTCTTTGTTTCGCGCTTGCCACCATCGTCCGCTAACATCAGACACCTCAAGAATGTCGTCCAATTCAAAGGAAATTTCGTTGCCGTCTTTGGGGTCGGCTTTGTAGCTGTAGATGGCCTTTGCTCGATAGGGGTATTCGGTGGGAGGGATAACTTGAGCATCAGGGCCTGTCACCTTGATCTGGGCTGGCCCAAACCCAGGAAGCTGGGAGCCGCGACCTCCACCCATCTGAGAGGCGCCGCCAACAGGTGAAGGATTTTCGAAGCCATTGAGCTGAGCAGATGTATACATTTGCGGTGGTTGGACAGAATTGGACGTCTCAGGACGGCCCATGCCCATGCCCATGCCACTGCCGTAATTGCTCATGGTTTGTCGCTGCATATGAGCAGATTCTTTGGTGAGGGCGAAGGAGTCGAGGAATGCACGGGGTGTAGCAGAGGGCGTCGATCCAAAGTATAAAGTCCAGACGAGCTGTGTACATTACAAGATTAGAATGCGCAAAGCTTTCATAAAAGATATATAGAGTAGTCGGGACGCAACAACATACCACGACCATGGAAAGGAGGATAAAGCCAGCAGCAGCAGCTTCTCGTGCTGCGTCCTTTGAATATACCAGGGAGTTGACCGATGAGGTTACCAGCACCATGCCTCCAGCAGAATATCCCGTAAGTGCTACATGGTAGGTCTGAATCGTGTCGCTACCGACAACATAGAAAACGCCAATGATCAAGAAGAGGCTGAATATGCTTGCCCACCAAGAGAACTTGGGGAATGGGTCGTTTGGCGTTTCTTGGATCTGGCCGATAATGCACCCGACGAAGGTGATGAGCCACGCAAGCTAAAGATGAACCGGTCAGCTTTCGCGCTTACCATATTGACACAAGGCCTGTTGGTAGTAAAAGGGGGAACACGAGATGGAACGCACAAAACCGATTGATGTGGTTGCCAGCGCAAACGGGTCGCCCAAGATGTTGCCACTCTGGAAGCCTCGTCGTCTGTAAATATTTGAGTGCTCCATTTTGTGAATTGACGGCGAGTTGACCGAGTAGGGGGGCATAAGAGAATTGGCCAGCTTGTCGGTTTGGGGGCGAGTGGTCAATGCGACAGTCCACGCCGTGATTGTGTACGCCTAAGGGAAAGAGTGTCGTCGAAAAGCCAGTTCGATTGTCGATCAGACGGAAGATAAAAGCGACGTGATTGTTTGGGAAATCGACGTGGTTGGTGTCCGGCACAGCCGAAGGATTAACGAGCGAAGAAGAAGAAAACAAACAAAAAGAAAGAAAAGGCCGATCGGGGCGCAGCAGGCTCGTCTCTGGTGAGTCTCGCTGAGGCCGTCGAGAGAGGATCGAAAGAGAGTAGGAAAGAGAGAGGGAAGAGAAGAAATCAGCCGGATATCAGGCGAGTAGGTGACGGATGGAGAAAATGGATTGGAAGATGCGGCCACGGCGTTGCTGGTGGAGTTGGTGCGACGGGGTTGGCAGAAAAATACACGACGGCTGGGTGGAGGGATCGCAGGCGTCGGTGCAGATCGCCGGCAGGACAGAGTCTCGGAGATGCAGGGAAGCAAGCGAGGCTGCAGGACGAGAAACGAGATGGATTGAGGACAATGAGAAGAGAAGAGAAGACAAGAGCTAGTGCAGATGCAGATGCGAGGTTTGCGACGATGCAGCGAGCGAATCGGTGCTCGATTGGAACTTGCGCAGTCGCGTGGAGTGGACGCCAGGAGAGGAGAGGAGCAGGGCGAGATCAATGCCAGCGGCAGGCGGAGTAGTACTACTAGTAGCTGGTAGCTGGTAGCTGGTACCGCGGAGGATTGCAGTACCAACACCGAACCGCAGCACTCGCTTTTTTTTCTGGGCTGCAGCCGCTGGACGAGGCCCCGTCCCTGGTGCCTGAGCCTGTGCCTGTGCCGTGCCGAGAGCCCTGTGCGCTGGGGCTAAGCAGCCGGGCAGGTAGCGGGTACTTGTTGCAACGGCGCTTTGGCACCTGCGTGTGCGGTACAGTGCTCGTAAGATACAGGAGGAGTCGGGGGCCCCGTAGCACTGGCGGCCGGGATGTGGCCTGGCGCGGTTCGTGGATTGGACTGAGTTGGTGCTACAGGCCAAGCACTAATCAATACAACTGGGTACTGTATGTATGCACTTTGCAGCAATTGATGCTAATGCTAATGCTACCAAATTGCAATAGAAATGACTGGATTGGGTAGTGTCGTGTCGTGTCGTGTCGTGTTGCGTTGAAAATCGAACCCAGCGGCGCGAAATGAAAGGCTCAGGCCGGGCGTCGTCTGAAGTTTAACAAGCAACCACCACCTGGTATGTGCTTTGCAGCTGATGCTGGGGTTGGAGCTGGGGTTGTGTGGTACGAGTATAAATAGAACGACAATGCCCGCATCAAGGTGGTATGCAAAGCTTTAGCAGCAGAAAAAGGGCAATTTGCAGGAATTAATGCGTCAAAAACACCAAGCCAGGAATTGAGTATAAGTGAATTGAGGAAAGAAAAAGAAAAAGGGGAGTAAAGGAACACCAAGCTGCCCATCTTTGCGTTTATCTTCAGCTACAAGTACCTACCTTACCTTTGTAGCAAGATAATCTGTAATAGCCTGCCGCCAGTAACCATGACGAAATGCTTGTAAAACCAAGAAAAGCCTTTCTTGCGCGCGCTGATTAAAACGCTGTTACGCACTATCAAGCCGGGAGCAGGAATGGCAGTGGCCAAGGAGCACAAAAACCGCCCTCCCGAGGAATGCGACGACGATGCTTCAAGAGTGACAATCCATCCTTCAATCATGCTGCTGGAGCCGTCACTCGCTTCTCCACCGCCGCCAGCCGTTGGATCCGCCGGCTTCCCATGCCACGCACGCACTGCATGCACGCCAGCGAAACGCCGGGGAGAGCATCCGCAGATTGGGGTTGGAGACTGGAGGTTCACGCACATCGCCTGTAGCTGGCTGTGCGAGTACGGGTATTGCTGCTGCAAATCACTTGAAGGTGTTGGGTTGTGTAAGCAGGGACCATTGACTTCCACTGTCAAGGTGCCTATCGCAAGCACTGCAGCAGAGCATATCTCTCTCTTACTTTCATCTCTCATGATCCGACCCTGACCATTGCCGACGTTTTGAGATTCGACGGCGTGTCTCGCGCCCAGGCACTAAGCAATAGGCTCATGATTTGTGGCTCCCCTGGTCTTGGATTGGAGACGCAGGGGCTCATCCACAGCGAGTTTCATGCTGGGTCTGCCCCACCAAGCACGGAGCTTCTGGCGATGGACGAGCAGTCTGACATTTGATCTTTGACGCTTCGGCTTTGTAAAACGGCGTCTTTCTATATACAAGTAGATACTGCTTTTCTATCAAGTACAGTAGACTCTTGGTACATGCACACGTTCATACACATGCAGATACTAGTACTCTAAGAAGCTATATCCAAGCTACAAATTACTGCATGTTGTATCAAGTCGCCTGCCTACCTATTATTGCGACTCCAGATAGCCGCGCGCACAGATCTATATCCGTCTCTCTCAAGCGTTTAAATCTGTTTCCTTTCACAGCCAACAAGCAGCTTGACGGCGCTGATTGACTGGCCCATCTCTCGCCAACGGCTCTCCAGTCGCTCCACCTGGCTCTGGCTGTACGTCACCAAGATGCCGTGCATCCTTCTCCTCAGCATTGGCGCTGCGGCAGTCCAATCCAGTCCCGGGATCAAGATCTACATCAGGCTGTTATGACGCCCGGCTTGCTATCCGGTGTGCAAGCGCTTGGCCTAGAAGCACGGAGTAGACGCGCGTCGCAGGTTGTGGTTCCAGGTCCCGGCAACCTGTCTGCCGCTCCAGATCTCAGATGTGCTGCATCAACAATAGCGGCTGTTGTAGACCGACCTCAAACCTGAGACACGCAGGTGAAGAGTAACCCAAGACTGCTAAGTGTACTACTAGATATTCCAGCGCCTAGCCAGATCTACAAAGATCGTACCAGTATATCACAATACAAGTCTCATGGTTCAAGCCTCTAGCAACATTGGTATCAGCATAGCCATGGCAAGTTTGACATATTGGCACGCCGAGCGATTGGTAGGCGAAACAAATACTAGTCATGGCTGGTGAAGCTTTCAATGTTTACATCTTGCAGTTCTACTACGTACATACAGGTACAAAGTACAAAGTACCTGAGGTCAGCTTCATGGTAGCCGAGTGTTCCGGATGGCCAACTAGAATTCTCAACCATGAGAGAGAGTAAATGCATGGCATCTATTGGTAAACACGAAGTTTTTCCTTTTCAAGAAAAATCTTATCTTTTCTGAGTCAAACTCTTTTTTACAATACGCGCAAGGTTCTCCAAACGTCGAAATTGAAACTCGCCAGGCCCCATCATAACCCCTGACTAGGCCCAATTTTTATATTTGGCGGCCTCTTTAGCTCTTCCAGCTGCCAGCCTAGGGATTTTAGCGGATCTCCCAGTTACCGTCCCGCCGCCAGCCTCCATTGGCTGCTGCTAGGCACGTGTAACAAGAACAGCAAAAAACAACAACAAAAAAAAAAAAAAAAAAGAAAAAAAAAAAAAGGAAAAAAAAAAAAATGTTGAATGCCTTGCCCTATGAATGGAAACCTGGTCTAGGTAAACAAAGAGGTCGCCGCGAATTCGTAGCGGGCAACTACAAAACACTAGAACTGAATTTAAATCTTCTTTAATTAGAGATGAATTTATTTGTGGCAAAAACTCAAGTTCAAGGTCCTGCGGCAGCGGCGTCGTTGGACAAGAGTTCTTCTTTTGCCTACTAATTGCCTGCTCTGGTACCGAGTGCTGGCTGCCGTTTCGGAAAAGAACTTATCCTTAACCACGGTTCTATACTCCGTATACGTAATACTAGCTGCGATCTGGCTTCGATCTCATCGTTGCTGAAACGCGGGGAGAAAGAAGCCGGAGGTTGAGGCATCGCGAGTTTGACCTTTCTTGAAGGTATACACTCCATGATTGCTTCGAGATATACATATCGGAAGTTCTGTTGCCAATGGGGTGATCTAGCCTCTGAAACATTGGGCCTGGTCTGTTACTACTTCGTCATATCCATCGGTCATGTTTTGGACTGGAGACATACACGAAAGATGTTATTCCTTAGCCGTAGCAGCAGCTGAAGATGTCTCAATATCGGCATCCAAATTCTGCTTTCCACACTCTTTGGGGTCAAGGGACATGGAAGCTTCTAATCGAGGCGGGGTATCTGTATTTCATCATGCGGTTTGCTTCGACTCTAGCGTCGATATCTCATAAAAGTTGGTTCGGCCATCTTCTGTCTCAAAAGCCTGTAGCTTTAACACCGCCTAGCTCCAATCCGTAGTGTCCTCCAACCGCGTATAGTATCATAGGAAGATGCAGCGCTCTTAATCCAGAACATTGATTTAGAATCAAAGGACTGCGCATCATCAGTTTGATGCCCTGGGTTCTCCCACCAGATAATATCGTTGTAAATAATGAACCGCAGCGGGGTATTATTCTGGATTCCTTCGATATGGAAACTTGCGCGGCTCGGGGCTTTCGACTCTGTAAATGGCATGCATCGCATCAAGTCAATTGAATCCCAGGGAACCACCACTATTCTTCGAGCGCAATCTCTCTTTTTCTCGTTTCCCACTCAACCCTCCGGATTCTGCCATCGGAATCCGCTATCATTTGAGAGTTTACCAGCGCCCTGTTTTCGTACCATGACCGCACAAGCATTTCGCTCTTACTCCGTAGTTTGGAAATCTCAGCCGCCTGAGCGATTTGCGTGGCTTCAATCGCCTTCATGCGCTGGGTGAGTGATATGAGAGAGGCACTGGCAGAAGAGTCGGGGATAGGGATATCTTTGGCGGCGGTGAGGGCGGAGAGTGTAGCGGGGAATGACGATGCCGAGGAGAGGACGATGGACTGGATTGTTTCCGAATCGAGCTGGGAGGGAGGCTGAGAAGGCGGCGGAGCATGAAAGAGATCGGGATTTGACTTGTCTGCGCGAGAGTAGAGTCAAAAACTGTAATCTTGATATGAGGGACCCCCGCAGGCTGGAGTTGAAAATACTGACATATCTTGAGGAGCTCCGCATAGACACGGATCTGGGCAACCATGTTGTTGAATCGCCGTTCTAGGATATCCATCTTCTCGAGGGCGGCGTCATGGTGATTTAGGCTGGATGTGGGAGAGGCGGTAGTGCCATAAAGAAGATGCTCGATGCGCAGGAGGCGCGATTCGAGGAGCGAGATGGTCGCCAGAGTTGTTTTGTCCAGTGGGTCGTCCATTTCGGTCAACATGTTGTAGTTTAACCGCCTATAATCTGAAAAACGAGGGCGAAGAGAGCGTGTGTTTGCTATGAGGGCCGCGTGTGACGGCGGTGGGAAGGATACCGAAGCTGTGTTGAGGTATGACGCTTTGGAGGAGCTTGTCGCAAGCTGTGGGTGGCGGTCACAGTGTGGTGCGCTGTGATTCGTTGAGATTTTAGGTGCCGCAGCGGGTGCTGTTCATCTGTGTACAAGCATCAATCCATCAATCGTGCATCAAAGCTGCCAGTATGCCAATTGCATCTGAGCTTAATTGCGAATGCGTATACAAGGCGCTTTTTGTTTTCTCTTGTTTTTAAACGCATCAAAATAGTTTGATTTCCATAAAAAAGATTGTTGCACCTATCTGAAGGCGTATCACTACGCCGTCCACTAACATGCGTGTACTTCGTATGGCTAATAATCGCCACGATGCGGCGGAACATAACGGCTCAGGCACCACACGTGCTTCGGAAACATGGTGCCTGTTTTCTCTCTGTGACCACTGGAAATGGCGAATCAATGCAAAAGCATTACTGCCAAGAGTGGCATAACTACAGGGACTGCAAAGCACCGCTCATGGAAAAGGGTATGGATCGCCGCAAAAAAGCCGTTTAACCACGGACTCGTGGCTTGTCGACACAGTTCCGAGAACACCAGAGCAGCATCCGTCCTTATGTGGATACTAGTAGTATCAATAACAGTTTGCCAGGATACAGACAACTCGCAACTTACTGATGTGACAAGATCCAAAGCACACACAGCCGTATTTTTATTTGCATCCTTTGCAATTTGCATCTTCAGCGTCTCATTCGGCAATGAGATGGAATGGCGTAATCGCGAATTGATACGGGTCATGCTGATATTATCCCTGTGCCCCAGGCTCTGTGATTGGCTGCACCTACCGCCAGCCGCTTGGGTCCGGGGGAGGCCCCGCCGTAAAATGCAGTCACTGTCTGAGAGGCCAGTCCGCTGATGGTTAGGGAATCCCCCATGGCCAGCTTTTCGTGGCGGTCCTCTGTTAGATTTCAGCCTCAACCTCAACCTCATCTCTTAGTCCGCCGTCGCTCGTTCGTCGCCACCATTCCGTCTGTTCGACCCGACACTCGCTCCAACGCTGCGCCAACGTCGCGTTTGCGCATCTTCCTCATCCCTGGACGCCCTGCCTGTGTCGCGCGACTGCGCTGCCATCGCGACACCCGAAGATTGGCATCGACAGCTGGTCACCCGACCAACTTCCCGCCGTGCTGCCCTTGAGCACATGAGGCTGCCCCTAGGGCTGCTATATCAGGACCGTCCAGCGGCGCTGCTGCCTGCCGTATACGCCGTCCTGGGAGGGCTATGACTAACTACCAAAGCATTTCAGACGGGGCCGCCTCTCCTGGGGGCTCTAGCAACATGTCGAGGTGAGCATGGCAGCCGGGGTGGATTTCATCGAGAGCATTGGGCTGATTCTCTTGCCTTCTCCGGCTTATAGATCGCGACGACGAGCTGGCAAAGATGGCCGCGGTGGACAAGCCAGCATGATTAGCAGCATTGTTAATTTGCTGAATACAAGTTCGCGACCCTCTTCCCACGCCATCCACATCCACGAATACTGACTTTGAACCTGTAAAGTTGTTGGGGCCGGCACACTTGCCATGCCATCTGTCCTGTCACACATGGGAATCATGCTGGGTGTGCTCCTCATGGTCTGGTCTGGCTTGACCTCGGCCTTTGGTCTTTACCTCCAGTCCAGATGCGCGCGCTACCTCGACCGCGGAAAATCCTCCTTCTTTGCCCTGTCTCAGCTGACATATCCCAATGCGTCCATCATTTTCGATGCCGCTATCGCGATCAAATGCTTCGGGGTTGGCGTCTCCTACATGATTATTATCGGCGACCTCATGCCCGGAGTGGCTTTGGGCTTCAAGAGCGATGCTGATAGGATTCCGTATCTGGTAGACCGAAACTTTTGGATTACTGCCTTTATGCTTCTCGTTATTCCTTTGAGTTTCCTAAAGAGGCTCGACTCACTCAAGTATACTAGCCTGGTTGCTTTGGTTTCGATTGGATATCTTATCATTCTGGTCATCTACCACTTTTCCGTCGACCCCCACGCCAGCCCAGACAATATTCGGGTTATCAAGCCGGCTGGTGCCGTTGCAACACTGAGTGCATTGCCAGTGGTAGTCTTTGCGTATACTTGCCATCAAAATGTATGTATTCCACCATTTTCTCAGCCAGGGAAACCACTAATTGTCTCTAGATGTTCTCCATCATCAACGAAATCAACGATCACTCTCCGTCTAGCCTGGTGAGAGTTATCGCGTCCAGCATTGGGTCCGCAGCATCAATTTACGTCTTGGTGGCTGTTACTGGATACATCACTTTTGGCAACTCCATTGTCGGAAATATCGTATCCATGTGTAAGAACCCCCACCGCTGTACTTTTTTGTGCTTCGTGCTGACACATTATAGATCCTACCGGCGTTGCTTCGACCATTGGAAAAGCTGCAATTGTTGTTCTTGTTTTGTTTTCCATTCCCCTGCAAGTCCATCCTTGCCGAGCATCCGTCGACGCTGTTGTCAATTGGCGACCTAGCAGGGGCAACTCGAATGGTGGCCGAGCTGGTTCCCCTCTACTAAACTCGGCACCAGTACAACGTGGTGATCACGGCAGCACCGCGCCAATGTCTGATCTCAGGTTTGCTCTCATCACTACGGTCATCCTTACTTTGGCCTACATTACAGCTCTCTCAGTGAGCAGTCTAGATCGTGTTCTAGCCTTTGTTGGTAGCACAGGATCCACGTCCATTAGTTTCATATTACCGGGTCTGTTTTATTACAAAATCAGCGATCCCGATAGTATCCATCACCAGCGCTTGGCCAAGGAAGACGATGACATGGACGGCTCTGACGACTCTGAAACCGAAGATACAGGAGCACTCGCCCAGAGCACTCACAGCATCGCCAGCGCCGCCAGTGCCACGAGCAACCGCAGCCGAAATGCATGGCGGTCACGCAGAAAGTGGCGATGGGACTTGGAACACGTTGATCACGGTCTTTTACGAAAGATGGCGTTGGCTCTAGCGATATATGGAATGATAGTGATGGCGGTTTGCCTTACTATGAATATTTTCTTCGCCGTCGCTCATTAATCAGGACTTGGCCAGACACCTTCATTTTACAACAGAAGAAAGAGCTTGCCTCTCTCTCCTTATCCTTCCACTCCTTTCTTTCTCCTCTTTTAAGAGACCCTCCTTATCTTTACCTTACAAACCATACCAGACATTGGTGTTGTCATTGAAATCGGCGTGCATGGAGTTCTAGATGAAAGGGGCAATTTCGGCGTTGATTCTTTTTTTATATGAAGCCTTGGGTATATCGATGACAAAGCTTTCGATATTTGTCCGAAGAAAACCCCTCTATGGCGGACTGTATAGTTTATCCACTGGCGAAGGAAGTTTTTCGATATGGAAGCGCTATACGTCTCAGCGGGGGTCAGAAATGTACTCTGATGAGCCATTAGAAGAGGACGACAAGAATATTCTTAGACTGGTATGAGTATGACGAGGTATAAACTGCAGTTTGTTTTTGTGATTAGCTTCTAGTAAGGGAATTTGCCTTATAACAATTGTTGAATACAAGAATTTAATTCACAGCTAGATACACGTTCTAACTGCACACATATGTCATAATGTGTCGCCTTTCCTCCCATGACACACGATTCAAACTCACTGTATATCTACAAAGAACTTGTGATGGTATTTGTCCCTCTATAAAATCCATACCCAACGCCATTGAAATGCCCAAACACATATCATACAAATACAATCAGCCGCATATCCATGTTGTCCACAGTCGCTTCTGATCATCTCCTCCAAACACTTTATTGAGTTTTCACGTCGTTTTTTCCACTCCTAGTCGTTTTCGTTCCTACCCTCCGGAGTCCCTTCTTTACCGAATCTTCACATCGCCAGCATTAACGCTGCCCTTGGTCTCGCTCTCCTTTGGAGCAAAGTGTTTCTTTGGCAGGATTCCCACCATAGACAGTAACCGCCATGCCGTATCTGTGGGCTGAGCGCCAACACCAATCCAGTACTTTGCGCGCTGCGAGTCGAGCTTAATGTCCTTGTGTAGCTTGCCAGAGTTGTCATAGGGGTCGGGCTTCGGAATAGGGTCGTATGTGCCAATGACCTCGAGAGGACGAGAGTTGCGCGCAGTGCTAGAGAAAGTTTCAGTCCCAAATTCGCGGGGCACAAGCTTGAATGATATCGAAGGCGGGGGAGATGCGAGTTCAATTGCTTTGAATGGGCGTAACGTACCGAGCATGAGCTACGACAATGTTATAGAAAGGAGAATTTCGGCGCCCAAATCGGGCGAGACGGATTTTGACGACCATGGCTGAAGTGAGGCACCACGAGCGAGATCTGATGATATGCGACTGGCTCCAGATTTACACTTGGGATTGGTGTTTTTCGGTCGCAGTAAATGGTACCATGGAATATTTAAGGCCGGAGTTGCAGTTTCGCCGCGCCCGCCAATCAGCGTCGGCAGAAACATGGCCCGAAACCGCTGACATCACATTAATGTATCAACGCCAATCACTAGGTCATTTCTAACGACATCATGACATCCCATCCTTCTCAGGAACCCGTTTTTTTATGGCTTAAATACTCGTGTTATTGACTTTTGGGATCCGAATTTTCAAGTTCTGAAAGACAACTTCCTTCGTTTTCATCTACAATTATTTACCATGGCTCTCAAGGTTTTTTGCGCTTACTCCTCTTTTTACGGGCTTACAGCGCTAACTCTTGTTGCGTAGACTATCGGCGCAAAGGCGGCGGCAGCTCTGGACCAAGAACTCATGAGCACCGGTGCCTTTTCTATCGATCAATTGATGGAGCTGGCTGGATTAGCAGTCTCACAAGCGGGTCTGTCTTTCCGATTGAAGGGAAGCTACGAAAATGGACTTGTCGTGCTAAAAGGTTGTCGCTAGTATATCGACTTCAGCCCTTGGACAAAGGCCAAAGAATCCTTGTGGCGTGTGGGCCGGGAAATAACGGTATATTTGCGCGTATATCCCTGTTGCGAGGTGGTGTATATTTCTAACTACTTTCCTCCTAGGTGGCGATGGCCTTGTTGCCGCACGACACCTCTTCCATTATGGTTATAGACCCACAGTCTTCTATCCCAAGAGAAGTAAGAATGAGCTTTACCAAGTGAGTTGCTTTCCACATTTTACTCAGCTTTGACTATGCCCGTTAGCCATAGTGTATGCATGAGCATGGAAGCCTCTTAATCTGTGAATGATCTTGCTCTTGAGTTCCCTCTTTGGGCTCACTCCTTCGAAGAGTGGCACGACAGAAGGGTGCATCCCTTTGATATTAGAAATTGCCATGGAGTATTGATTGTCGATATATCCCTTCGATTCTCTCTGTGTCCTCTCTCCTCTCCAAAAAGCAAGCTGCTAGGACATGTTGTCTTTCATCCAGGAAAATAGCTAACCGTGGCTCGTAGCGGTTGGCCAAGCAGCTCGAAGATTTAGATATTCCATTTGTCGATGATTTCCCAGCCGCCATAGAATCAACAGACCATGTAGTAGATGCGATATTTGGTTTGTGTGCCTCGTGCCTAGGTTATGAAAGAAACGCCCAGAGCTGACCTTGTGTCTTTAGGTTTCAGTTTCTCAGGCGAGGTCCGGGAGCCGTTTCCCGCGGTAATTCAAGCTCTCCAGGAGACCAAATTACCCATCACCTCGGTGGATGCTCCATCGTCGTGGGATATCGAGAATGGCCCTCCCAAGACAGGCTTAGGTAGCTCCTTTATGCCCACGGCTCTTGTCAGCCTTACGGCTCCTAAACCACTAGTCAATCACTTCACCGGTCGGCACTTCGTCGGCGGACGGTACGAACCTTTCGTTTTATCTGTACACTGCCTTGTTCCGATGCGGTTTGCTGACCTTTGGCTGTAGGTTTGTGTCCCCATCTATTGCCAAAAAGTATAATTTCGAAGTTCCTCCCTATCAGGGTGTAGACCAAGTTGTCGAGATAGGATCGTCCGAGCAGAAGCTCTGAATTCATCCAGGGAGCTAGTCGATTTCAGATGGTGTGAATGTGCCTCCCTTGTCGTATCAGTCAATATTTCCGCAATATATTTGCGGTTGACCTCTGTTGTCTTCCTTCAACTGTAATTGTGCCGGTCATCACATCACTTGACAGCCTCCTCTCAAGCTATTTGGACAGACAGGACTCGGACATCCACCTTCACGCATTTCCTCAAGTACAATCGTCACCTCCCGAGGGCAGTCGTGAGCAGGCGGCCGAGAATCCTGACAAAGGGCAACAAAGATGAGATATTCTTTCCGGCAGACTGGGCATTCAGCCGTATGCACCGTGCACATTTATCTGAAGCACGTTTTGTCCGTCAACCGTTTTTGAGACTGGGGAATTAAAGGATAGTCAGGGGTAGGGAGGCGTCCTCGCGTTGACAACATGAGAGAAAAAGAGTGACGATGTTGCTTCTTGCCGCATAGAGTGCCCAACACGATTGGAATATTGTACTGCCGCTAATACAAAGTGAAGTTTGAGCTAACCAGCGAGCAAACACTCTTCTCGAGCAGATGGCCGGATCTGCAGATATATGGCAAAACCAGGGCAAGATGTGGCTTCACGCAAAGGAGGACGTTCCTATCCAGATGGGGCCAGCTACCACCGATTGCCACTGCCCGGATCTTAGCCACAGCGGTATTGGGCAGTGGGCGGGCGGGTTTGCAGTGGCCGTGTCACTCCGTTGCGGCTGCAAGATTGACTGACGGAAGGCACACAATTGGCCGGTGAGCGACATGGGCAGTTGAAACGGCGAAGAAGAACCATTTTGACAGATAAATTCGGCTGCACCACCCGCATTTCTCTGTGCTGGGCTGAGCTATGTGTGATCGGATGCGAATTGGGCACAGGAGCAGATGCTCCGGAGCAAAAGCTCCCCCCCTGCTAGGCTGGAGAAGCCAGCGGCGCTTACAAAACCGAGGCGAGCCCCCAATACGGTCCGCTTTTCCTAGAATTATCTTCAGGAACTTTCCTTCCTCACTGTCGATGTCTACTGAAGTCCCTAAGCTTCGGGAACGCCCAGCCTCGGGGTCCGCCGCGGCGGCGGACCTGTGCCTGGACGGCTGCTGCTCACTCCGAACGGTCTGGATTAGGATGGACAAGGACCAGTAGCTGAATTCGCCTCGGGACCCAGCGTGGCATGGCACCGCAGATCCAGAATCTGGCTTTGCCTATTGGTGTTATTGGCTTTTTAACACCATCCTTACTTACACCCGTAGCTAGTGTCGGCACATGGCTCCCAAAGGCGAAGCAGAGATGACCACCACTCGGTATTAGCGCGTCCAGGAACATTCCGATGTGTGTACACGGTACACTCTTTGTGAATCGAAGAAGCCAATGTACTACTTGATAACTGCCAAGCTATGGTCCGACCCAGACAAACCCCACACGGTCTAGCCATGGAATTCAAGGCGCCACATGGTGGCGTTGTGGAGAGGCGACAAAATACCTTCAACTTATATCACCGCGATTAGATTCTTTCTGAGACTCTGTCATACCTGTCTGACGGATTTTCAATTGTGGGGTAATTTACTACCAAATCATTTGACGAGTAGCATCGGTGATGCCTTTTGAGGGAAAGTGACGGCATGCTGCTGTAGTTGTTTACGAGTGACGACTAATACCATCACTGGTGTCTCCGGCCCCTGTGGCTTCGCTTACACGTTTCTTTGAGGTTTCGAGATGATTTTCCCGTCGGTCAGAGCTTCTTGGTTTCTACTGGACTCCTTGGCCAGATGATCATCAAAATGGGATGCCTGACAGAATGCCATGATAGGTCAACCTCACGCTTTGACGTGCTCACATGCATCAGCCACACCGGTGGGGAAGCATCTACCGCAGCACATGCAGAATCCTATACAGGCTGTCCTCATGCTTGTTTCATACGATTAGTCTAATGACATGAGGTAAACGCAATTGAGGCGACATCGTACGGATACTGAAATGAGCTACAGGGGTAAATGCGACGCGGCATTCTTGGCACCTTGCACTCGATGCCCGTTTGATGTTGCGTGGTTGTTGGACAGTGGACATGGGCCAGCCACATGTGGCGTCGAGCTGGAAGCTTCCTTTCCAAACCATAGCTATCCCCGAGATTCGATCAAAATCAAGGTCTCCACCTATTCGGTTCCCAATTCCGTGCAGCAGCGGAGCTTACACACGGCTAAATACCAACTCTACATCATTATGAAAGCCATTCATCGCTACAATTCGGAGCAAGCATACGGCATCGTCACGCTTTCACGCCCGTTCTGATCTCCTATGATTCTAGAAACTACGACGCCGATTCTAGAAATAACAAGGCCAATGCCGCCATAACCCTTGCGTGGCACCGCACCGCACAGCACCAACAAAACGTGTGCTTGTAATTGTGGCGTTGCACAACAGATCGACGAGGCTTTGGCCGAACAGTCCCGCCAATCGAGAGCTCTCAATGGTTCGTTGTCTGGCTGCTCAAATTTGCTCAATTCACCAATCAGATCCATTTGCGAGGTCTTGATGCTGATCGACAGTGGCGGCTGTGGCTGCGTATGACTTGCCACCGTGGCAGATGCTATGGAAAATTACACTGTCGCCACAATCGCTGCCTTTTTTCGATAATTGTCACGCCAGCTTCCGTTGGCTTGTGACTTAACAATTGGCTTGTGATAGCGGCTCAACCTGTGGTCGGTTCGCCCGTCTGGTTGCTACCGACGCAGACTTTTTTTTCCTCGGATTTTTCTCAATATTGAAAGAGAGCGGAGACGATCCGTCGTTGGCGGTGAACGGTCCGTCAATGCGCCTTTAGCAGGCTGAAGCTTGATCTTTAAGCGCCGGAGGTAATGCTCCTACAGCGAGACTTTGCGCGCAATGGGAAAACTTTTTCGCCGGTCAACCCCATGGCACTGGTGTGCTTCCAATTCAGCGTCAGGGCCACTTGGAGATTACCTAACGCTACAAAAGGAAGATGAAGGTTGGCTACGGAGGAGGCTCGGAAGCATCTGATTGACTCATGGATATAACTTTGTGTGTTGCAAAAACCGGTGGTTTTCCCTCCTCACAAGCCACAACTTAAGCTCATCCTTGTGACTTATAATTTGCCACAGTTACTGTCATCATAGTGCTATAATAATAGCGTGGTTGTCTTAGACGGAACACCTAAGTATATCAAACGTAATTTTCTCCTCCGCCGAAGGGCAGTCAAGCAGGGTTTGATTTTATTTCTGCCAACTGACGATATATTTCTTATCTTTGTTCTTGAACGCTAGCCCCTTACTAACGCCAGTACTTTCAGTAACAGCTCGAAGTATATAAGAGCATCGCTCGGCCGCCTCATATCGACTCCGTCATTCTTGCCAAAGTTTGATATAAGATGATGGGCAGCTGCTCTAGCAATGTGGAGATTGTTCAAATGAGGGTGGCAAGCGGACATGGAGACGAAGAGCTCGATGTGACGTTCTTTGGCATACTCACATGAAATAGATCGAGCTCCTATAAAACAGTTGCTCATGCCTACCATTGGTCTTGAACTACTCGGTATCCCTTCTCGGTTGGGGGTCGTATGTGGCCCACCGGATGCTTCAACAACCATTTGGTTGGCTGTTGTTGCTTAGACTGATGGCCTGGCACTCTCTGAATACCGGACCTCATCTCCGGCCAGGAGCTTGCCGAGATGGCACAGGCCATTTACCTAGATGATACAATGCTGCCTGATTTTCCGTTGTGCGCGATTGACTGGCTGGAGAAGGAGATTAGGAGCGGCGGGCATACGAAAACAAAGCCACAGTTGGGGGCTGACTAGTGTCACGTACGTTGCTCGGCATGGCAGCTCGCATGGATGGATACATCCTCGTCGATGCCTAGGATTAGGCAACTCGCCATCTCTTGCCCCCTTCGACGCTTGTTCGGCTTGCAATGTCGACATGAAGCGTCCAAAGTATTGTGCCAGCTGGTTCTGTTCAAACGTGTGTTATCTTGAAGCTCTCAGCTGCACCTTCGTGGGATGATTTGTTGTGCCGAGGCTCGGAAAGTATCGTTCGCCAAGGAATACTACAAAGCCGCGGAGGAGAATCCTGACACCGCTATCAACATATAAGCCATGGCATCTCCAGGAGGCGAAGTCGTCAATATGGATGATGGCCACACAAAGAAGCCGATTTCAAAGCTGCAGTGTTGAATCACGTCCTCTTGGGCCGCAATCTGTCGATTGTTGACCGCCTCTGTGGGTATACTACGAGAAGCATGGCACGCCTTCAGCCATCCATAGGGGCTGACGACTAACGCTAGACAAGTATTCTACTCAATGGGATGCTCCTATACATGTGGATCGTTTCTGCAGTGAGAACATCATGATACCTACGGGTACTTATCATGCATCTACAGGCCTAGTGCGCGGCCATGTTTTTTGGCCGATGAGGAGACGGCGAACAATAAAAGGGAAATTTCGCCGAACATGACTTTGGAGCCGAGCTCTTCTTGTCAAGGCTTCCAAATATGGAGGGGCCTCGGATCCAATGACGATGAAGAGTTGGTGTCAGGTGCTATTCTCGGGTTTATGAAGGGACCCTGAAAGGTAAGTGATTTGTAAGAGATGCCGGAATTATCATTGAGAGATGGGGTCGAAATTATGTCGACGTGTCCCTTGCTTCCCCCACGTTGTGAGGAGAGGTGGAAAATTTTTAAAAGCAGATGGATAGATATCGCACTTTGCTTCTCTCATGATCCTTTCTCCCCTCTCTCTCCCCCCTCATCTCTGCTTCTTATTCTTCCCTTTCTTATCCTTCTCTCGGATTGTTTCTCCCCTAATGATGGAGGCACTTTGCCATAAGTTTATAAAAGCTGTGTTAAGTGGTGTGGCTTCAGATCCTTTGCATAGCAGTCACAAATTATCGCTGACTCCTAAAGAATGAGAAGCGTAAATTTAGCTTCTGAATGGCCTTTACGTTGCCAATGACAGCACGCATTTCGCAACAATTAACAGTTTCGTTGGT